TATATATAAATTGTCCAATGATGGAAAAATGAAGGGCAAATTCTTCTAAATGCGATCCAGAAGACAGGCGGAAAAGAAGGTGAAATTTGCTTTTGGGTGTATGATAAATTGACATTCATCATACAGGGCGTGGAAAGAAATTCTGAATTGAGACTATCACGAATCTGCGATTAGAGGTCTATAAAAAATTACAAGTTTCCATCGTTCAAGTTTGAACCCCCTGATTGGGTATGAAAGTGTTGAAAAGGAATATTCTCAGATAAATTATGAACATACAAATATGGATATATATTTATATAAAGTGATACATTGAGAATTCGCATTCTCTATGTGATGAGAATATTTACTCTTTTCGTCATGGCATATAGCCAGGAAAGTAGTTGTTTTCTATTGAATCAACTGAAAAAGAGTAAATATTCTCATCACATAGAGAATGCTAATTCTCAATGTATCACTTTATATAAATATATATATCCATTTTTGTATGTTCATAATTTATCTGAGAATATTCCTTTTCAACAATTTTACTTAATGCTTCACCACACCTCAATAATTACCACTGTTGAATTTGTTTTCTTACCAGGTAATGATATATATTCGCTATATATCATCTCTTCAGAGTTAATCCAGTACATCGTGTATTTGAACCCATTTGACCCTGAAACTATTTTTTTTCTGATTTTGTATATTATTTTCTTGAAATAGCCTCATCAAAGCTTTGATTTCCTTCAACCGGGTTCAAGATCAAAAACTTTTTATTCAAGCTGTTGAAAAGAGGACGCAGTTCAGAGTACTTGTAATTTTTATCAAGTTATTAGTTATTGTTATTTTATTATATTTTTTTATTAGTTTTATACACGTTTATGTATTTATATACCTTTGAATGTTATTATTAGTTATAAATAATTAACGCTGTGGAATGGTAATTGCTGTCTCAGCGATAATATATTGAAGAGGAGAATTCATTTTTCTCATATTCAATTCATGATGTATCATTTGCTTTTATATAGTTATTTTCAACAGTGATATTGATTATAATATTATAATAATGATAATTACCACTTTCAAGGGTCTCCCTTTAGTGGTTCTCTGATTTATTCACTACTTTGATTTAAAACTATTCTTATTATTATTATTGATGAATGAATTTATTTATTATCATTATTATCATTATTATTATGAATTGAAAGCTATCTATTTTGCCAATACATGTTATGTCCCTGATTTTAATATAATTCGTGTGATGCTCCGAAAAGAATTCACCGATACTGGAAGAATCAGCAGTAGTGTTATAATGTATTTATACTATACTCCGTATTTGCATTCTAAACTGCCATTTGAAGTGAGACAAGCAAAAATTTCTATCATTTTCAAACCGTCATAACTTTGTATTGGATCAACCAATTTTTTTCTTTCAAGATTCTGATAGCTCATGCCATTGAGTAAAACGTCAGTACTTTCTTGTTATTCCACCTTTCCGACTTGAAGACCTACAGGGTGATATCTGAAAATGTGATAATTTTCGAAAAGTTTGGGATCACCCCGCTTCACCGGGATTTTTTTTTATTTCTTATTGAGAGCGATAAAATGAATAAGGACAATGAGTTTTCTCGAAATGGTTTTGAATTCAGGAGGATTCATACAGGATGTTTCGATTATGGAATTCTTCACATTATATTTTGCAATTTTCGGCAAGTTTGAGATCGCCCCGTTTTGCAGGAATTTTTATTATGTTTCATTGAGGGCGATAGGATGGAGCATAATGAGTTTTTCTCGAAATGCTTTCCGATGCAGGAAGATCCATATACAGGAAGTTGTGATATATGGAATTTTTCAGAATATATTGCATTCTGATGTTCAACCAACATAAACTTAACTTCAACAGAACTTTGGATTAGCTTATCCTGCTCAACGCTATCACTATACAATGTGTTGTACATTTTCAAACATACCGGGTATCATCGAATTTTTTAGACAAACCATGGTTTCCACATTTCCAGAGGTATGAGATTCGAATTTGGCAGGGGTGTAGAATTCGAGAATTGATGTTTTTCGAAATTCTATACTCTCCCATCACTTCCGGGTTTGACCAGAAACGACCCTATCTTTCAATTTTCAAATGGGACATCCTGTATTTTATGCCAGTATGAAATTGTCACCAAATGTTTTGGGCAAGATAACCAACGTGGGGCAATGATTCATAATGATACCGCCCCATGTCAATTTTATGTACTTATCATTTTTTCATTGTAAATATTGTGTTATTAACGGCATTTTTTTAAGTAATATTTCAATTTATTTCTACATCTCCTATATTCGAAAATGTACAACACATTGTGTAGTAATGGCGTGGAAGATATGCCAATGTAAAATTCTGTTGAAGTTGAGTTTATGGTGGTTGAACATGCAGAATGCAATATGTTGTGAAAAATTCAATGCATTCAAACATCCTGTATGAATCCTCTTGAATTCAAAACCATTTCGAGGAAACTCATCATTGTTCGTCATTTTATCGCCCTCAATAAAGCATAAAAAAATCCTGGTGAAACGGGGTGATCTCAAACTGTTCGAAAATTATCACATTCTCAGATATCACCCAGTAGGTCTTCATATAGAAAAGGTGGAATAACAAGAAACAATGGAATGAGCTATCAGAATGTTGAAAGGAATTGAAAATTGGTTGATCCACTCCAAAGCTATGACGGTTCGAAGATGAAAGAAGTTTCTGCTTGTCTCACTTCAAATGTGGAGCAGTTTATGTTGAAAAGAAGAGTACCTGGCAAACTCACAAGGCTCAACCAGTTTTTTGAAATTCCTCTGGTAACAACGAACAACTGCTCCCCTATAATATCCATGTTAAAGATCGAATAATGTCTTTCTTCTGTCAGATATCAGTATTGCTCTTCCCTTTCCCCCCACAATTCATCAAGTTACTCAAACAATATTTTGAGAATGTTGAATTAAACTTGTTATGTCACCCAAACAACAGTTCATCGATTATGCACCAAGTATGATGAAAGTATGAATTTCGAATGAAAAAATATTGGAAACATTAACTAATATCCTTAGGTACATAAGGACTGATTTAATATCAAATTTGTATATAGTATAGTTTTCTAATGTAATTAGGTGTGAACCTGTTTGAGAAATAAATAAATAAATATTCAGATAACGATGCAATATATGTTTTGGTATTATATCACATATACCTACGCCTTGGTCTTGGTGTATTTATTTGAATATGACCTTCTGTACACCTACAATATCCCAAAAGATTTCATCAATTGCCTAATAAACTTCAAAATATGAAATGTAAGTTTATTGCAAAATCTCATGGAAATATTGCAGTTAAAACAGACAGTTTTGGCATGAAAATCAAAAGTTTTCGGGAAAATGGAATCAGTTGAGAGAAATTACGAGAAATTATTATGATGACAATGAAAACGAGAAACCATAACGTTTTTCTTGGCACATAGTCCGTTTGCGACATTCCTTTGTTATTGGATAATGAAGGTTGAGTCAGGATCTTGTATCTGATTTCATCACATCCAAACGACTTGTCACCAGAATTCATTGAAATCCAGGAATAGCCTGACATTATTCATAAAGTTAGTTATATTTGTTTATCGTAAAGAAATTGACGTTTACTTCTTCTGGGAAATAGCTAGAGTCGAACCATAATTGAAAAAAAAAATTAAATTGGCCCATCGCGCTTTTATCAGTTATTTCCAAAGTGATGGAGACAGCCATCAACGTTGACATTTCAAACATCTGATAAGCTATCTGAAATATTCATAGCCGACTCTGGGGTGCCACAAGGTTCAAACCTTGGACCTCTACTGTTCCTTATTTTTATCAATAGCTTGCCTGCCCACTTGAAATACTCTGACTGTGTGCTCTTCGCAGACGATTTGAAGTTTTATAGACGAATTGAGAGTTTGCAAGAATTTCAAAAACTACAAAACGATATAAAAAGTATTTATCAATGGAGTGTGGGCCATGATCTTCCTTCCAAGATAGGTAAATGTGTGGTGCTGCCTTGTGCTAGGAAACGAGAAACGATTGAATATAATTATGCGATGAATGGTGATGTATTGAGAAGAGTCGAAACAGTAAAAGATCTGGGTGTTCACTATGATTCCACACTTTCATTCAGAACACATATAGAATATAAAGCCTCACGAGGGCTTCGAGCTCTAGGATTCATCTTTAGGCAAATCAAACTGTTCAAAGATACCGACACAAGGACTGTGTTGTACAATACACTCGACTGACCAAAGATGTTTGGCAAAACTTTTTATACTATGCGTTCTCTTTCAGATTCCCCATTTTATCTTAGGAAACTAAGAATTCACGACGGAGGCAGGTCAACGATGTCAATGAGGATATTGATAAAACAGTCTGGTGAATCAACAACATTCATACCTGAGGTATTATAACAATGAATATTCGAGTTTTTGAAGACATTCTGTCTACTGAATAGCAAATGCAAATGAAGAATTTGAAGGTAGTATTTCTGGAGAAGAATCCACACCTGGAGAATTTTCTATTATCGATCACTACCTTCTGTTGTTTTCGTGTTTCAAAAATACGATGGAATCATAAGGAAAAAAACCGATTCAAAAGTGTAGTGTTTAATATGAAATTTTCACCAAATTGCAGCAATCACTTTTCTTTATATTTTTGAATCGGATTTTTCATCTTTCGATATACTTAGCTGATTCTAGAGTCTACTTTTCCGATATATTATTTGAATGAAAAACACATTTCCCAGGTTTCGGCTCAGTGATACTTCGTGCATAGTAGATAGTTCAGTTGCTGCCCACTATCAGCAGATTACAATAAACCATTTCTAAATCATCTTCATTCAAAGTTTCACGCCAAACCTATGAAATGCCCTACATCTCTGTGACTCACCTGATTGGCTCACCCATCTCCCAAGCATCGGAACCCTCCTAGCTCATCTACTGACAACGACGATAACGACGTTTCCTTTCCAGCACGGCAACACCGCCCAGCACGAGGCCTCCTGGAAGGGGTACAGCCGGACGGTGCGGCTGCTGGCTGCTGCCGGAGCTGACCTCGACAAGCGCAACGTTGCCGGCTTCACCGCTCTCCACCTCAGCTGCCAGAACGGGCACAACCAGTCGTGCAGGGAGCTGCTTTTGGCAGGCTGCAACCCGGACGTCCAGAACAGTTACGGAGATACCGCCTTGCACACTGCTGCTAGGTAAGAGCGAAACATACTGATCGCAGGTGGTTAGGTGGTGCCTGACCCTAATTCAAACACGATTCGGTATTCAGTGAGGAAATCCTTGCAATCATCATCCGTTATTAATCGAGGTTGTTCTGGTCCATTGTAAAATACTATGTAGTATAACTGACTAGAATCTGTTGTTGTCTGATTCCCGATCATAGAAAGAGTATTGTAATCATTTTTGGCCTGTCCTTGGCATTTTTCGTTGTTTTCAATGCTGTGTTAACGTATACAAGGTGAATACTTTGAAAGGAATAAATTCGCTAGCATAAATGTACTTAGCAAGATTTCGCAAGCGATATGGAGTAGTTGGAATCAGCCCAAAACATATTTGTTTCAAATGCAACCCTATGGCTTGTGTCCCCTCATTGAAAAACTGGTTGAATGTGAGATCCAGCGTACTGAGAAAATTTTGGCTTTTGCATAAAATCAAAACATGATTTTAAAGATTAATATATCTTCAATGTATTTTCATCAAAATTTCGAGTTTTAGCGATCAGTTATATAAGACCAGTCTGCAACAACACTGCGTTACGAACTATGAATACTGCATACGAACTACTAAATTTCATTTTGCGACTGTGTAAAACACTGAAATGAAATAGCAGATATCAGTTGTGGCAAAAAATATTGCTTGTGGGGACATCTAGAATAAAAGGTCAACACTCAAACACAATTGGAAGAATTGTTACGTTGAGAATACATTAATTTCAAAATCAAGTATTGATTCAACGCTAACACGTACTTGAAAGGCTATATTCTTCATATGGCTTGCGAAATGTAGGCAAACACATCAAAATGTTCACGTATGACGGGAATTTCAGACAAAATAGACACATGATCGCTAGCTAATTTATTCTAGTAAAAGTGAACTATTGAAGATTTCAACATAAAACCGTTTCATTCTGTCGCATCAGAGATTTCTTGTTGGAGAAGCGACAATGCCGCACTTCTCCTTTGCATAGCGGTGTTGCCACGAAAGTGGTTCGTATCTTTGAAGGGTAGTTCATATAATTTTCCATAATTCTCATTGATTATTTGTGCGATTTATTGTGAAATGGTTCCTCAATGCCAAGCATGCACAAAATAATACAATTCAGACATTCAGGCCGATGTTTTTTTCACTCTTCGAATATCTACATATTATTCGTTTACCATATCCACGTCAATTTTATAGCGTTGCAAATGGAAAGTGAGTAGACAGAGTGTTTTATAATTCAATGCTGATCCTAAAGGGCGGTAATCCTTGGATGATTACAAGAAAAATTCTTCATATGAACATTGTTTTTGATTTTCAGTTTTGGTACATGCAAGGGATAGTTGAAAATGCAATCTTTCCATAATGAAGGTTTTCTGACGTTCCTGTTAATATGCCCTACATTATCTTCAGTTGGTAGATACCTATATATACCGTTCTGAAATGATTATTAGTTTGGGTGGTCTAGACTCAAGAAACTACAGACTTAGACTAAGCTTATACGTAAACTAGAAGTAGGTATATAAGTGTTATTTTCATTCCCGTTTGAATACATCAGGGGTAGAGACTCGGTATAATAAGCAAAGCAAACTTAACTATTTTCCTACTATACATTGTGGGTATAAAACTCTTAATTGATTTTGTTCAGTGCTATTTTACGCGAAGAGCCCGTAAATGAAACTCGTCTATTTACAAAATACTTGTTTTATTTCATACGAAGTTTTCTCTTTCTATTTATAAATTCCATTCCCATGTACATTATTACTATTGCTACATGAAAGGGGCAACTTTGTTAGAGAATCATGAATTACGGATAGCCTTCAATGTATCTTGCTTCTTGCTTCGATAGTATTATAGTGATGCGATGTCATTACTCAATAGTCAATTCGAATGATGACATATGAATGGACATAAAACGTATTGTTAATAAACATGAATGACATGATACTTTTTGTGGCTTGTTTGTAACGAGGTTTGTGAGTTTGGCGGACATATATTATCTTCATTAAACGTCAAAGACTGACGTGAAAACAACCTGAAAAATGGATAAAATGTTGCTGGAATACGTCACTTGCGTTTTCGTATTGTAACAAACCGTACGACAAACGATACCGCAAAGTACTTTTTCTGTCTTGTTCATTATAGCATTCAGATGAGCAAAATCTTTAACGAGCAATTTTCTGCAATAATCAGAAGAGAAACAATCTGAAGATTTCAATTATTTTTAGACTATCAGAAATCACAAAACTTGAAACGTTAATAATTACGAAAGAGTATAGATATTTTCAGGTAAGTGTGCAATGAAATTTTTCATCTACGCTGTTTTATAATCATGTCACCAATGTGAACCCTGTACAGGGTGGCTGGAATTAGAGCCTCATAATTTTGGGGATCTCGTAAACCGGTAGAGATACAGGGTCGGTCAAATAATGGTTAAGTTGCGCTATTTTATGACTAACGAAATGCCGTTTTGGAACTTGTGAAATTCTGAATTCTTTCAGAGATATACGAAAAAAACCGAAATTTCCTAGAACCCCCTTTATTTTTTTTCAAGTTATTCGATTAGAGTGATCGAAATGAATGACACTCCATCAAAGACACTTATTCTTCTTCCCCACAAGTTGGCGTTTTCAAATTTGAAATGTGTCGTTAGTTCTTCCTGAAACCATCATCAATTTATATTGTTTTCAATACGGACCTGGACTTTTCATTTAATTGTTCAAACCTTTGGATAGCCAAAAGCTATGAGCAATTACAGATTGATATTTTCGAATGTTTGTCAACAAAATTGACAGTTTCTTATTGAATATAAAAAAGAAACATTCGAAAATAACATTTTTTGAAAACTCGTAGCTTTTGGAACATCCATGCAAAGGTGGAATGAAATTAAATAGCAAATCCAGGTCCGTAACATAATGAAAATAAATAAGTTTCCAGAAGACGAAATGTCGGATTTCATATTTGAAAACGCTAACTTGTGGAGAAGAAAACGTGGCCATGATGAAGGGTCATTCATTTCGATTAAGTTCTTCAAATAACTTGAAAATAAAAACAGGTTTTAGGAAATACTGTCTGGTAGGTTAATCGAGGAGGTGGTACATTCATTATTCCAGATTTTTTGGTATTTTCTCTCCTCGTTTCTATAAAATAAAAATATGAATATTATTTCAATATACGTGTAGTAAGGACAAATCAGATGATATGCCCCAAAATGTCACTGCGTTTGAAGAATTTTCCTATCAGAGAGCCTGAAAGAAAAAAATACTAGCTTCTCAGTGACAATTTGTATTGAAAAAGGTTTGAAGAAGAGAAATAAAGGTATATAGAAAAACTACCAAATTTTTACTTAGCTTTGGACGTTTCGTGAACAAATCTGCTCCCGTTTTCAACAGCAAAAATAGTTATTTGATTAGCAAATTCGTATCTGTCTTTAAACTTTTCAGTTCTCAGTGACATTTGGAAAACAGGAGCAGATTCGTTCCCAAAACGTCCAAAGTTAAGTAAAAATTCGATATTTTCTCTATATACCTTTATTTCTCGTCTCCAAACCTTTTTCAATACAAATTGTCACTAACAAGCTAGTGAATTTTCCTTTTAGGCTCTCTGATAGGAAAATTCTTCAAACGCAGTGACATTTTGGGGCAAATCATCTGATTTGTCCTTACTACACGTATATTGAAATAATATTCATATTTTTATTTCATAGAAACGAGGAGATAAAATCCCAAAAATTCTGGAATAATGCAGGTTTTAGGAAATTACGAATTCTTCAATTTTCAAAACAGTATTTTGTTGTGCATGAAATTGCGCGACTTTGCCATAGTTTATAGCTGACCCTGTATGTACGAGATCCCAATGATGAGGCTCGCATTCCATCCACCCTGTATTTCCATGAGATCAGAACAGAAAATGTTTACAAGTACTGAACTAGCCAAAATGCTCAAAGTGGAATGAAATGTTGATTGAATACAAAAAATCCAAATAATTTCCACAAATGCTTATAAAATGAACAGCAATGGTAGATTAAGGAATAAAACAACTACTTTCCTGGCAAATTCCACGCTGAACATTGAAAAACATCCTCCCGGAATCTATGCATCGATTCGTATAAACGAATATTGATGCAAGTGTTTCTCTCCTTTTTTTTCAATTGAGTCAGCCGTTACTTGATGGAAATTCATGGCAAATGTAAAAACTTCACGAACGATAAGATTTCCACGAAATTCTCAAACACACGACATGTTTCGCTAACACAGTAGCCTCGTCAGGTGATCACCCAAGAGAAACAATGTATAACAGTTATGTAACATTTATGTAACAGTTATGTAACATTTATGTAACAGTTATGTAACAGTCATATAACAGGCATGTAACAGTTATGTAACATTTATGTAACATTTATGTAACGGTTATGTAACGGTTATGTAACATTTATGAAACAGATATGTAACAAATCCTCAGATACGGCCATGCGGGCGTCACGCGCATCCTGATATCCGCCCAGTGCCGCGTTTCCGAGCAAAACAAGAACGGCGACACGGCCCTGCACGTGGCGGCGGCGATGGGCAGGCGCAAGCTCACCAGAATCCTGCTAGAGGCGGGCTGCGATATGCGCGTGCGCAACAAGCAGAACGAGACGGCCGGGGACATCGCGCTCAGGAAGAACCTGGTCGAGATCCTGGATATACTGGACCGAGGCAGGTCTGGCGCAGACAGGAAGGGGAAGGGGAAGAAGAGCAGGGCGGTCAAGGGGCGAGTGAAGTTCGAGAAGGTGGGGAAAGGTAGGTGGGGATGCTTTCTTGCATGATTCACATTCTGGAATTATGCTCGCACTGGTTTAGGATTTTGTCAAATATACAGTGTCTTTCAGGATCAGCAAGTTGACAACATATGGAAAACATGTTTATCTACAACTATGGAGTCATTCATACATTGCTTACTCGATTTTCGACATTCATTGGCAGTCATTATTGTGATGAATCGAGTAATAAGAGTAATTATGACAGTAGGGTGGCGTAATAATTTGACATCCCATCGTCTTGTCAAATTCAACTAGGTAGGTATTCGTTCTATTATTTCGCAAATCCACCGTACCCTTGTTCTCGTAGTTCTAAACATCTTAATTCTACAAATACACGGAAAAATAAGAATTCACTGTTTTTCATCCTCAACAGTGACTATCATCATGAGTAACCATAACCATAAAATAGGACTTGACACTTGCAGATTTGCTTACACCTTAGATCCTGTATGATCTAAGGCACACACTAACACTAATATGGCTACAGGCTATTGGAATAGATCAGTACAGACCAATCAGAACTAGAAGCAAAAAATGAATAATCTGCAATAGTATATGATTCATTTTACAACTGAAAAGTGAAATATCATGTAATACCTGGTAAGATTGACTGATATGTGATTGCACGACTTTTTTTCCTGCTAATAAAAGTTATATCCAACATTGTTTATCCAATTTTCACAATCAAAATTATTGAAATAAGTTATAAGCTGTTCGTTGAATGGAATCTTTGTCAATAAATTTTCGATGGAATTAATGAGTATTTGAAATCAGATTCAGTGATTTTGCAATATAATAACCTTCATTTTTTTTCAAAGATATATTTCTGAACTCTCAGAGTTGCTTTGATATTTGAATAGTTGTAGATAAAGTATAGTATTCTACTTGCGCATAATGACTATTACCCACTCAGATGATTACAGCACTCGCCTTCGGCTCGTACTGCAACTTTCATCTTCGTGGGTAATAGCCATCATTATGCGCTCGTTGAATAATATACTATTAATGAATATTATTCACGTTAATCGACACGAAGCATTGTGGCTGAAGCATTAGATTTTTTAGATTTTTTTTTTCGGATTATTGTTGGCGCTACATTTTGAATATATTTCATGTTGTACATGGTGTGCCAAAAACACAAAATGTATCAAAGTTGCTATTTTTTAAATAGAATGCCCTGTATATTATCGCATTTGCAGATTCTCCCTGGAGAGCTGATTTCATCAATGCAGTACAATTGGGGTCCAGCTGGAATGATTACAGAAATATATAGGGTGTTCAAGATCGAGATTTTCCAACTAGGCTTTTTTTGTGACGAAACTATTTATTTTATTATCGGCCAAAACGACTCATATGTCCCTATCTCAACTTTCGATCAACTATCTACTGACATTTAATCGGAACTGATAAAGGGTGGTTCAAGATTCAGAATTCTGATGAGTGCTTGCTATACAGAGTGTCCTGAAATTAGCTTGACAAACTCCACCAGCGGCTTTAACGACCAAAATTAGGAAGAAATGTTCCAATGAAGATAAGAGAAATGACTCCTAAGGGAGCTACGGCTCCCTGAAAGGGGGCTCCTGAAGATGATATTTCTTGAATATTTCCGAAACGCCACTTTGTAAAATGATGCAATTTGGTACGAGAAGTGAACTTTCCATGCCCAATTCGGTGTACAGGGTGATTCGCCATAAATGCCCCCCCCCTCTCTAGCTCTGTTATTTTTGAACCGATTGCAAAATTTTAAATATCATCTCAAATGATTTTCGATAGAGTGTTTTTCCGCTACATCAGAAAATACAAGGTGCTCGGAACAAACGATCTACAGGGTACTATTTGATTTTTTCAAATGGAACACCGTATTTTTCATTGTATTTTTAGATTCTCCCTGAAGAGCTGATTTCATCAATGCATCACACTGGGGTCTAGCGAAAATGATTACAGAGATATAGGGTGTTCAAAATCGAGATTTTTCAACTTTAGGATTTTTCTGTGACGAAACTATTCATTATCGGTCAAAACGGCTTTCATGTCCGTATCACAACTTCAATTAACTATCTACTGACTTTTAATAATTGGAACAGATACAGGGTGATCAGAATTCTGAATCTTGAACCACACTGTATATGTTCCAATGAAATGTCAATAGATAGTAAATCAAAAGTTGAGATGGGGGCATCAAAGTCGTTTTGACCAATAATGAATAGTTTCGACACAAAAAAATTTCAAAGTTGAAAAATATCGATTTTGAACACCCTATATCTCTGTAATCATTCCCGCTATACCCCAAGTGTGATAGATTGATGAAATCAGCTCTTCAGGGAGAATCTAAAAATACAATGAAATACAGGGTGTTCCATTTGAAAAAATGAAGTAGTACACTGTAGATCGTTTGTTCCGAGCACCCTGTATTTTCTGATGCAACAGGAACAAAATTTCTAAAAAATCATTTGAGATAATTTTTCAAATTTTTGAATCGGTTCAAAAATAAGTGAGCTAGAAGGGGGACATTTATGGTGAATCACCCTGTACATAAGATCATTCCAAAATTTCATTGAGAAGTATATAATACAGGGTGAAAATACATCAAATATTGCTCAAACTTTTTTGTATGCATATTATTCGACAATTTAATCTCGGATTATGGAAATCTACAACAAAAAAGGTGCTCTTATTCTGCATCGATCAGATTTATCATTTTCGAGTGAAATCGATTCAAAACATACATACACTCATACACCTTACGCATAACGTTGCTTATAAAAAAACATCTCATAAAAGCGCGAAAAATAGGAAAATGATGATAATAAAACTACTTAATTTTGTGTCCTTTTTTTCCATTTCCACTACGACTCATTGCAATGTTATGCATAGTATTTGAGATGTAACAATAATTTTATGTCGATAGGTACTCGATACTGATCGTTACGAAACAGGAGTACCTTTCTCTAAAGAGCGATATTTAATGTAGTCCCACCCTGTATTATACATTCCTGAGTGAAATCTTGAAATAATTTTATTTTCACTGCATTGGGCATGGAAAGTTTAGTTCTTGTACCAAATTGCATCTTTTTTTCACATGAAGTTCCGGAAATACTCAAGAAATATCATCATCATCATTTCTCATTTCTTGACTCATTTTCATTGAAACTTTTCTTCCAATTTTTGATCGTAGAAGCCGCTGGTGAAGTTTGGCAGGCTAATGTCGGCCCATCCTGTATAATTGTACACTTCTCACCCTAGGTGCTAGGTATATAATACGCTATTTAATATTACAAAAATTTCGCAGGATTTGAAAAATATCAAGAACTTGAAGTTGCAATAGACCGTTCAAATTTGAGATACAAATGTAAAATCGAAATAGAAACAACATTTCTGAGTAATTAGCATTTTTGAAATTATAACAAATAAGCCTATTTTCAGTGATTAATTTGAAAAAAACGTAACTTATTTTCACATGTACTCACGTGACCCCGACCGAGTAGGCAATTTTTCATCTTTTTCAAGTCAACGTCTCAAAATTAATTATTATAAAACTTTTTTCGATATGATATGCCAACTTCCTCATTATGTGAACAGATATTTGATACTAAATAGTATTATTTATTCAGTATTTGACTGACAAGATACAATATTATAATGACAACAAACATATATCAACCTATATACAGAGTGTAACATCTAGTAACATTCCTGAAATGAAAATGCATATTGTTCGAAAAACAGGGAGTTTTTGAGTTTTTTCTTGATAAGCCTAGAAATGCAGTGATAGATACGCAAAAAACTAGGAAGGTCAATGAGTAGTAGGTAGTAATCTGAACTTCGATCTAGGAAAAAATCGACGATTCTAGAACTGAGTTTAATTTTAGATGCCAAAAATTGACATGAACAAATATAATCCCGAGAGGTAAAAAAATAGAGTTCATCAGTCAGTCGTCGTGTGCCTTGACTTCACTTTGTTCATTCCGGCAACTTTCATGTAGTTTGTGATTGTTTACTTGGCTCGTAAATAATTTCTATCGCTTTCGCGAAACCGTTCAAATAAAAATCAATCAATCGAGATTTTCATGTAATGTTATGTTATGCTCTAATTATGCGCCAATTATCAAAACAGGTTGTATCTAAAAAGAAATATGTATGTCGTAATAAGCCAGAAAAATTCAACACTACACACAAACATCTGGTTTCACTAAATACCTAGTTGAAAATTAGGAAACAAAATTTACCTGTTCGAACGTTTTCGCGAAAGTCCAGTAATCTATGAGTTGATGCATAAATATTCGGCTGCCTAGAATATGATCGAAATCGTTAGATCGAACTCCATTTGATCGAACATCATTTGATCGAAAATCAATTGATCGAAAAATCAAATGATCGAAATACTAATTGATCGAAATATCAATTGATCGAACTAACATTTCGATCAAATATAATCATTTGCTCATAATATTCAAACTATACTTACCGATTCGTCTCAAATCCTTTGTATAGATTCCAGGAATTCAATGATATGAATGATTTTATTGTGAGGAGTTGTGAAAAGTAGAACCTCAAGTATAACTATAGTGATCAACATAGTATGTCAGAATTTATGTCACATTCATCCCCCCCTTGCTCCCCATGTGGACGCTATTGTTTGGTACATCGCTTGCCTATAATAGTTCAGGTATTCCCAGTAATTACGGAAGTACGGTTCATTTAGGCCGGGTCCGGTTAGGTTGTTCAGGAACAGTAGTCTCTTTTTTTCTCTCGAGTAATTTTCTGAAATATATATACTATCTAGGAAGGAGGTTCATTTAGGCCGAGTCAGGTTAGATTGTTAAATAAAAGTAGTCTCCTCTTTATGCTTATGCAGAAAGGATATGTTCCTTCCTTAGCCTTCATGCAAATAGTGTAATGGCTGAAAACGAAGTTTACGCTGCAATACGTGAAATGGCTAAGCATTTCAGCAGGGAATGACGGATTTCATCAAATATGTTTCTTTCATGTTATGAGTCCGATCTAAATATGATTCGATCAAATGATATTTTGATCAATTGATTTTCGATCATTTGATTCTTCGATCAAATAATGTTCGATCAAGTGATTTAGATCAAATAGTTTTCGATCATATTTCCGGCAACCTAAAAGTATTCCAATTCCTGATCTGTTTCCAGATGCTGTAGATGCCCATGATGAAAGTAAACCTTGGTCTCCATATGGTTGTCATTATTTTCCGGATAGCAAGAATTTTCCATCTCCTAAATTGGATTCCCTTCCCAACGAACCACTGAAGAAAGGAGAACAGTATTATTTGGATCTTGCGGGTAAGATACAGGGTCCTTTAACTCCTTTGAACGGCTATAGCTGAGTGTAAATTTATATGGAAACTAGACTGTACCCAATGAGAGGTATAACAAGTGACGTAATATAGGGGAAGGGATCCATGGGGTCTGGACCCCCCCTTTCCCCAAGCTGTCCGAAAAACCGAAACAATCTGGTAAACAATTCTAATAATGGAAAAATAGACATGAGTATGGGAGATATCACGGGAATTCAATTTATAATTCATAAGAACATCCGAACGAAATTAGGACGTCAAATAACCCTATGTATATATGAATATTCTTCCTGCCTGTCCTGATATGCGATGAGAATGAAAGATGGTAGGTATTAGGTAATGGAGTGGACTGATAATGAATTATTGGCATTCAATTACTCCACTGTGTCGTTAGGAACCTAAATTAATCTTTGCAAAACTTCTCACGTTTTTTTAATGTAAATAATAAGTCTATGCGTCTCCTTATTGCAAGATTAACCTGTCAGTTGAGGGAAAAATACACTATAATTCTTGCAATTAGTGTAATTGACAGAATGATCTAGTAATTACCATTTCAAATAGGAGTTTTGTTCAATTATTAGTCTAATTACTAGATAAATCTTGCAATAGATTGATAACCTCGCAATCAGAATATTAAACGAAAATAATACCTTTTTTGCGCTAGAACTGTTCAACGTCTTCGTGATTCACAGTCACAACTACTGTATGACGCAAAGACACATGTCTATAATTCCTCAGGCAACATCTCCCCATAGCCCCATAGGCGTCGGCTACACCTGTTACTGCGCCCCCCTCCTCCAGTAACCTTGCAATTAGCTTCATTGACAGAATAATCTATAGCAATTATGATTCTCAACGAAACATGTTCGCGATATGTCCGTTGCTACTGCACTTTTCCTTCAGGCACCTTGAAGCCCGCGTCTAGAGGAAAAAGAGCTGCAGCGGGCACACTCCCAGCCATTTTTTGATCATATCTATCAATCAACAGATTTATTCTCCAATGAGCTTGAGTAAATCTGAGATGCATCTGTCAATTAACTCCTAATTGCAAAACCGATCTGACAATTCAAGCATAATGGCAAAATAGCGTGCTAGATCCGGCTCGAAGGACCAAAAATTATATAATGGGGACTGAGTCGATGTTGCAATTAGGGAGTCAGGAAGATGCAGCAGGTCTTCTGAGGTTGCAATCACCGTCCTCCAAGGAGGATGATTGGACCGATATAATAATCTTTCAATTATTAGGCGTGGCACTTGATATCTCCAAGGCATTCGATCGAGTCTGGCACCACGGACTCCTCGCAAAGCTTCCATCTTATGGCTTGCCACCCCAGCTATGTTCTCTGCTAGCTTGTTTTTTCTCAAACAGGTCTCTCCATGTAGTGGTCGACGGAGTTTCATCTGACTCTCTTATCATAAATGCTGGTGTTCCACAAGGATCAATTCTAGCACCAACACTATTTTTACTCCATATCTACGATATGTTGGAAGCAACTTCAAGTCCATTACACAGTTTCGTGGATGATAGTACCCTCCATACCGCCGTCTCGTCCATGGCTCCAATACCAGCCAGGCAAATCAGAAACGAACGAGGGAGAAATGTTGACAACATAAATATGGACTTGGCAACAATTCTCGAATGGGAATCCGATAACTTGGTAGATTTCAATGCAAACAGAACACAAGCATGCCTTTTCTCTAGAAAAGCCGATCTCACTGTGCCCAACATGAGCTTGTCAGGAGTAACCATACCTTTGAAGACATCCATTTCGATGCTTGGTTTTACTATCAGCAATAACCTTTCTTGGGAAAGTCACGTGAGATCAATTGCTAAAAGTGCATTCCAAGAACCTGGTTTTCTGTTCCAGGCCAGGAGCTATTTCACTTCCAGTCAGCTGCTTATGATCTATAAGGCACAGATCCGACCTGACCTGAAATACTGTTCCCATAGTTGAAGTGCAGCACCCAAACATACCCTAATCATGTTGGATTCTGTCCAGAAAATTGCAATTCGTCTCGTGGCTGATTCCTCGCTCACAAACTCACTCACTTCTCTGGAAAACCGTAGAAAAGTTGGCGATTTGGCTCTATTTTATAGATATTTTCATGGACGATGCTCTTCTGAAATATCGAGAATTGTTCCCCCCTTGGCAGTCCCGCGAGATTAACCCGTCGTGTTGAGGCTTCGTACCCCTTCGTGGTCACTTTGGAGACCTGCAGAACATCTCTTTCCGAAGACTCGTTCCTCCAACGAACAGGGAGGCTCTGGAACACATTGCCAAGAGAGATGTTCCCCGAGGCCTCCAGATATTTAAGAAGAACCCCAATTTCTACCTCATTTTCCTTGGTTCTCATGATGTTCTCTCAACATTAAAGGATATCCCTTTTCGTGGGAACCAGAACATAAAAAAATAAAGAAAATTGTATTTTTTATTATGATAAATCTTGCGATTATAATATGTTTCGAATTCTTCAGGCAACATTTGCAAGGGCCCCATAGGCGTCGGCTACACCTGCTACTGCGCCCCCCTCTTCCGGCATCTAGAGGCGCGCGTGGAGAGGGACAAGAAGGAGCTGCAGCGCGCGCACTTCCGGCTGCGGCAGCGCGTCATCGGGCTGGAGCAGCGGCTGAAGCGGGGGCAGCACGCGAGGCGGTCGGAGCGGGTGGTTGGCAGCAGGGAGCGGGGCATGGAGCGGTCGCTGCCGCGGTCCAGGAGTCTGGAGATGCTGTACAGGATGGACGGGCCTCCGATGCAAACGACGAGGTAAGGACTGTCTCCGTATTGGATACGACTTCATTAGGCGTACATGACAGGTTTATTCCCTGACCGAACGTCCGTGGAGCTTATATGGACGTCCATCGGACATACAACATATTCTACGTTCAGTACTGTACGGTGCTACTTTTATTAATGTGAAACCCTACCACTATTAGCTATTGAACCTACCATTATTCTCTCTTTTCGGAGGCGTAAAGTGTGTGTTTACTACCAAGATATTGTTTGTCATTCGATGAACTACTAGTCAATAAAGACATATCCACCACTGTTATAATTAACCCTAATTAACTGTTCTGACGCGAGATTCGCAAGAATAGATCTTGACTCTATTGTACGTATTTATCAATAACGAAACGACTTGTCATATGTATAAAATTAACAAACGACTTTGAGTAGGATGGCTGACATTTTACTTACCGATCAACTAGACCTCCATAGTTCACCACTGTTGAATTTGTTTTCTTAGAAGATTATAATATGTATTGCTATCAACCCTTCAAGTTAATCCGGTACACCGTATTTTAATTTAGATATCGTACCTAATTTCCGAACTAACTAATCCTTCAGGTTGAGAAAGTAAGAGCAAACCAAGGTTAGTTTAGTTCTTACATTTGTCATGGATTTCCATTAAATAACGGCCAAGTCAATTCAAATTCTGATCAATATATGTCTTAAATCTGAATACTTTCCGACAAGCTGGAAGCTATCAAAGGTATGTCCTATATATAAGAAGGGTGATAAAAATAACCTTGTGAATCATAGACCAATTTCGATTATATGCATCTTTTGCAAAGTTTTCGAAATTCTTCTGGAACGTAATCTGTCCTATAGCATCAACAAAATCATTTCTCCCCATCAACATGGTTTTATGAGAGGTCGGTCAACGGTTACAAATCTGATAACAGTTACTCAATACATTTCTGAGAATATTGACAATCGTGCGCAAACAGACGTCATCTACACCGACTTCTCCAAAGCCTTCGACAGACTTGACCACGGAATTTTGATAAATAAACTGAAAGCATTTGGCTTATCTATCTCTCTAGTAAACCTATTCAAATCATACCTCACTAATCGTAAACAATATGTCCAGTTGAACGGCTACAAGTCTATCGAATATCTTGCAACATCTGGCGTACCACAAGGCTCCAATCTGGGGCCACTTCTTTTCAACATTTTCATTAACGACATCGGTAATGTTATTGACGTGAACTTTTTGCTATATGCGGACGACCTGAAATTATATAGGTGCGTGAATCACATAGATGATTGTCAACAGCTCGCTGACAACCTGGGTCGGGTGGAAGAATGGTGTCAAAATAACAGATTAGAACTGAATCCTGTCAAATGTAATGTCATGTCCTTCACATTGAAGTCGGACCCTATCGTTTTCAATTACTCAATTGGTGACATTTCTCTTCTGAGACCTATAACATTCAAAGATCTTGGCGTTATATTTGATCAATCTTTATCGTTTAATGATCATATTGACTCAATCCTGAAATCTGCATTTCGAGCATACGGGTTCATAGTACGCAACAGTCGTGATTTTAAAGAGATAGATACTCTTAAGAAATTGTACTACTGTTTTATACGTTCGAAGATTGAATATGCATCGGTTGTTTGGAGCCCATACTATCGGAACAATACTGATCGTCTTGAAAGTCTGCAACGACGGTTTTTAAAACTGTTAAGTTACAGGTCATGCGGTACATACCCTCCAATTGGTACACCTCATGGAGAGCTTCTAAAAACTTTCCGATTCGTGAGCCTGCACGTAAGAAGACAATACTTCTCTATCCTGATCCTTTATAAGGTTGTTAACAATCTAATTGACTGTGCAGATTTGTTGAAAAAATTGAACTTTATTATCCCGAGATTATCTTCCAGAAATTGTGATACGTTCTACTTAGAGTTTCCTCGAACCAACATATATAAAAATTCACCCTTGTATAAAATGTGTAGTACATATAACTTGGTAGCTAGGGATATAGATCTGTTCAGCTGTGGAATAACTCATATCAAAACTTTTTATCTTTTTTCTCCTTCATCAGTGAATAACTAGATCCTTAGTCAGGATATTTTCATTTTGTCATATTGTTTCGTCTATCCATTATGCTTATGTAATATGCAATGCATGTTTTTGTTTTGTCCTCTTTTTCCTGTTCTGTAAATGGGGCAACCTGTTGAACAGTGTAAGAAATAAATAAAAAAACATCGATATTTGTTCGGTTTTAGAGCGTCTACGAATTGTAGGAATTTTTTCCTGATTGAAAGTCAGTCATAACGGGTCTTCAACAATGATTGAATACCACGTGACCGTTTTTGATGCGGCGTCCCTTTTCCACCCATGGTGAAGAGATACGACTGTGTTCCTGGTTGCATATAGTAATCTGTCACGTGGTTTTCTATAATTGTTGAAGACACTTGGAAGTGGTTTATCAACTCATTTTTATTCTCCAGTTAATCAACTGCCAGATCATGAAAGTTGGCAATGCTGATGAATAAATGTAAGCAATCTCATTGGTTGTTACAAGAACAAGGTCATGTCACATCACGACCGATCACGAGTAGTCACGACCGTTTTGTTAGGTTATTGTTGATTGTTTTCGAGGTTTTCTGTTTTATGAGTGCTGTGAAATTGCATCCTCTTTTCTTTGTAGAACTACTAGTACTCTTCATTTTCAACTTTTTTGTCACACCAGAAAGCTAGGAAATCAAAACAACTCAATAAAGTGAGGTTATGTATAGGCATTAATCCAGATATCGACTATCCGCCAGTTAAAACTTACAGATAAATATTTGACATTTTAACTGCCGGATAAAGTTACCCTGGTATAGATAAACCGACCTTTCCAAAAAAACTGGTAGTTAAGCTTTAACTGACAGATAAATTGTAATTGATAAACCGGCCCTGAGACTTCATTTCGTGACGTTTTCGCGATTTCTCCTTAATTCGCCATTGGAACAAAAATAATGATTTTTTCAAAAGTCTTGTATTTCTTGAAGTTTTTCTTCAGAACTCCACTTGAACTGAATATTGGGAAGACATGTTTTCTGGAGGTCAATGAAAGATCAATGAAGAACCATAGTAGAATAAAGAGGGTGAAAGGAAAAAAGGGTAAAAATTCATTTATAAAAAACACAAGCGGTGCCCAACACCGTAGTTCATTCGATACATGATATTCAGAAACGGCCTTTTCGATATCCATTATTGAATACTTTATCCTAGATAGCCTGTATTAGTACATCAACGAACAACAGTGGGCTGACGCCATGCTATCAGGGTGCAAACGTAAAACAATGAAAATTTCATGATGGCAACATTGAAATTGAGGAGAAAAAGAGGAGAAGTTCTTTCTGTAATGATGTTGGAATTGTCTTCTTTTTCATTTCTTCTTATATTTAGTGTTGCCAACATAAAATTCCCACTGTTGCAGACAATCATCGAAAGGGAAGACATTCCTTATTCCTCGAAGCTATAGCTGAACTTCTCTAACGAATGTATTCTGTGCAGGAGTATGGACGAGCTAGAACCACCCGCCGACAACTCCGAAGACACCCAACGCCCCTCAGTCAAGGAACTAGTAGCCAGGATCCAACACCTGAACGTCACCACCACGAACGGCAACGAGAGCGAGAGCAGCGACGAGGAAGACGTGCCCCAAAGGCGCAAACAGCCGCCCCACGCTCCAGACCTCGCCCCGCCAGACTTCCCCGCCGAAGCCCCTCCCAGGAGCAGAAGCGGCGTGTATAGCCCCACGGGGACCCAAGTGCCTCGGTACATCGAGCCTGTGGTGGAGATCAGGACTTACGATCAGAGCAAGCGGGTTCCGATGTACCGCACGGACCTCGGGTTCGTGGAGCCCTACAAAATCCAGTATTACGATAGCGCGGCAACAGGTGAGAACGTTAGTACCGGCTTCGCGGAGAGACGTGTTTTGACTAGCGCGAAAGTGTACGACAGTGAAGCGGGGACATCTAGTAGGCTGGGCATGAACTATGCGGCGAACGTGCAGGATAACGTCGATCGGGACACTAATAACGATTCGGGGTATTCGACGAAGGTGTACGGGAGTTCTAAGGGAAACTCTCCTAGTTTGTGCGGGGGGAAGATCGAGGGAGAGTGCCTCGGGGCTTCCAGTTTAGTTTGAGGAGAAGAGATTCATTATATATTTTGTTTTCAATTTGTTTCTTAAAAGACGAAGTTTTGATTAAAGAATTATTAAAGTCCTATGTTCATTTTAATATTAGTGACACAACTTTGAAGAAAGGGCGTCGATTTGGTGGAAGGGGGTAGAGCAAACATAAATATATTTTTTCCACCACTAATCTGGGAAATCACCATTGTTCGAGGATTTCCTCTAATGAGAAGTAACACTTTTTGAACCTATAGGTGGATAATGATGAATTGATAAAGAAATTTTACTTAGGTAGAAAAAAAACTGTGTATATAGTGCCAATGATATTATGCAATATACACACAGTTACCGATGTGTATGCAACCAACGAAAATTATACGTTCTTTAAACCAAATATAGTTGAAACTACAAATCTCATGACAGCTGAAAGCAACTTTTGAAGTACCTATGAAAACTGTTTGGAATAATCTGATTATTATTAATTCTAATAAAAATGTCACAACACAAATCATACGTGAGCTGTCACTGTCATGTGTGACTTGGACCGAGAATTCGAATAACCATTACTTTCGGTAAGGACACATTTTTTTTTTGACCAATCAACACAATTTCAGCTATGGTGGTGATGATGTATACCACTTCAATAATTGTTCAATGGTTTTAATTTACTCGCAATATTTATCAGTATCCTTCCTAACTTCAGGCAGGCGACTTTCTATCAAAATGAATGTCACATAATTTCTTACTAGGTTTTGTAGTTATTCACAATTTCACCTGGAATTTTAATACAGCGTTTATTTTCTGACAGCCAGGTCGAATTTCCTTCAAGTTTGTTTGACAACTGAACTCTTAGGCTATACTTGATATAACTAAATTTCAGTGATATGCTGAACAATGGAATGAAAATCAGAATTGATGAAATATGTTGATTTTTCAGTGTTATTAGTGGAAAAAACATTATATATACCTCGGGTGAGAATGCTTTAATATAGCTCGCACACTATATCCTTCGGCGCTTCGCTATTTTTTGGTTTTAAGATTTTTGCTCGAAGGCACTCAACAAGAAAATACTTAAATAATTTGTTCTTCAGATATGCCATCGACGTAGACATCGAACAACAACTTTCAGACAGCGAATCTATGCATCACAGAGTCCGGTGATATTTTTATATATCTATGAATGTGCATCAATGCTAACCTATACAAGTACCCCTTTGCCCATTGTTGATCGTAGTCAAGTTTTGAGCCTTTTAACTGGAGAACAACTTATTCTCCTTGCCGTAACTGCATTTACTGGCTCTACACAAGAAATCTCAAGAGCTAAATATATTCGAGGATAGACGTTCTCTAAAATACCACATTCATATAGCGTCATGCGATGGTCATAAATTAGTGTAATGCTGCTCAATCGAACGCCACATTATGTTACAAAGCGTATTTTGTCTAAATTTTTAGATTTATTAGGTATTTCTAATATTTTCCCCCCATATTTCCGCCCTTGTCTTGAAGAAGCAGCTTAGATATGGGCGGAAATCCCCAATAATTTTTGAGAAAAGAAAAATATTCAACTTATTCATTAAACATATTATATTTTCAATTTTTCATATGTTTTTATAATTATATTTTGAATAGGCTTGTGAACTTATATTTTTTCCATTTCGCCTTATTAATCATCACATTGTTGCTTACAATTTTATCATTTTCCGAACATTTTCTGAATGGTTTTGCGGTCACAGTCTCATTTAAACGGTCGAAATCAATTACTCATAACTATTGACGTCAAAACTCAGTGGGTGAAACACATAGTTGTCAGATGTCGAAATACATCTGGAAATAGCAGAAATTGACGGCTATAATATATACATACATACATCATGTGTGATCGCAGGGTAACATTCAGACCAAGGGAATATTGCCCGATATAAAAAAGTATCTCTTGACCTCTTGACATCATTGATGTCGTACTGGATATTACGTCATTCAATGCTTGCATATAGCTACAATTTATCATTATTGCTCGATCTTAGGTTTCATCACTTTCATTTGTTGAGGAACTTCTTCTGCACTTGAATCATGTTGATTGAACTCTGGTAAGGCAAATAGAGGTGCTGCTTCTTCAGTTTCATTGTATATCAGCCAGTTGCCTTCACTGAAAAAAAAAAGGAAATTTATCTGATGAATATAATTGAAGTAATGAGCGGACTAGTATAAATCCGTCGTTTCTTGGACCAGATTTGATGTTGATGAGTGATCAATTATCCAATCTAGAACCATGCATGCATAAATGAGGTAAACCCAGAAGTTAGACATTATTTTAGTATTTCATACTCACTTGATTTCATCAGGAGCAACAGCTATGTCCACCAATCGCATCATTTTTTTGCTGTCATCCTCTTCTCCATAATCAATCTCAGAATCTCCTTCTCTCTGAAACACGTTGTCGATAAAGGAATGACTAGAAGGCAATATGGCTTGTGCTTTAACAGAAGATATCTTGACGAAACCATCATCATTGTCTTCACTATGTTTCGAACCACTAACTAGCCTTGTTTTGAAATCTAGCTTATCGTTAATGTGATCCCCTCTAACTTTCTGAACATGACCTATCGAGTAGATCTTCTGAGGACTACCAATTTTGTCAGAGGAGCTAGAGTGTCCAAACGTAGGCCTCTTTGGTATATCTCCCACGTCACCAATGTCAATCCTGTCGTAGCCACTGCTAGGTTTATTCTGTGTATAATAATAGTTTGGAATTTCATCATCATAGTTACTGTTGGTGGATTCTACTTCACCGTAAATGTATTGTTGATTGATGGGTCTATAGCTCTGTGGTTTATTTGAACTAATAATCAAAGGCTCGCCTTCTAGATTTACCTCATCATATTGGTCGTACCCATTACTCGGTTTATAGCCTTCAGGTCTTGGTCTGTGAACAGTGTCATCGTTGTCGCCATAGCTGCTAGGTCTTGTGTAGATTTCATTAGGTTTGTAGCTGGTATCCGGTCTGTATCTATCAACATTGATGGGTCTACTGTAGACTTGTGAAGGCCTGTAGCTGCTAGGTCTGTAGTCGTCTTGTACTGGCCTGTTGAATATTTGTGTTGGCCTGTAACTATTGGAACCGTAGTCCTGAACTGGTCTGTTGCTTATTTTGTCTGGCTTACTGCCTGAGGAACCATAGTCATCAAGAAAGCTGGGTCTGGTGTAGATATAAGACGGCTTCGTGTTTGAGACTGTACCGTACGATTGTCCTGGGAAATCGACTTGTGGGGAGGATTGTACATATACTGGGTAGGACAGGTGGGAATTTGTTGTCCAAGCAGGTACTGTAGGTCTTTTTCTCCTCCGAAAGGGAGCAGGGGTAGTGGTACTGGAGGTAGGGAGAAAGTACTGTATTTTGATGTTGACTTCTAGTGGATTATTTGATTGTGATGAAGATACCTTTTGATATTTGTTCGCGTCTTTCACGATGACTATATGTTTTGAGCCAGTTTTGCTCTTTGGTGCATTGGGCTTAGATGAAATACTTTTCATAGTTGTTGAAGATGGTTTATTCCTATTTCTACGTTTGACCTTGGTCTGGGCTCTTCGACTCCTTCCTAGAGGCGACAAATCTATGTTCTCGAGAACATCCTCCCCTTCCCTTCCGAAACCAAGATCAATTTTGTTGTCGACTTCATTGAATGTTGTTTCTATCCACGGTAAGAGATCCAAATGTTTCATCGAGGTACTATCACAAGCAACCCGATCGTTTTTGACTTCATCAGCTGAGAGGAAGACATACTTCTGTATGGTTTCGATTTCATCCAAAGTCTGGCAAAGGATGCTGGAGAAGGTCACTTTCCTGATCTGCTGGAGTTGCGCGGGGGTGAAGGACGACGGAAACTTGCCATTTTCGTACCAGAATCTGAAACAGGAGAACATTCCAGGAGAAATTGCTCGATGTTACATGGGTTCAAGGGTTCAACGGTCAAAGAATACTTCAAAGGGATCAGAGCAACCAGAACATGGGGGTGTTGGTACTTTTCTCGTTTCTCTGAGCATTGAGAGTTCGCCAAAAGAGGCATAATCAACTATTTCGAATGATCTGATTTTCTCAAACTATATACTTACAGGGTGATTATTATTATTATTATTATTTTTATTATTTTTATATGGATTTGCTACTCCTGAGAGGTCCTTGTAATGAATTTTATTTGGTGCTGCCATTAGCTGAGGCGAACCATTAGAAAACTCTGATAAGGATCATTTGTAATACAGAAGCACATAATGTCATTCCCTCGCAATTTCAAAGATGTATGATGGTTCGTGCCTGTGTTCCTTGTTTCCCAGCAATATAGTATTTTTCAGTAGATAATCTCCAGACATGCTAGTTTGCGGTTTGGCATTTTACGTTTCTGTCAATTTACGTTCTGCACTTAGGGTTAAAGGTTTCTGACGAATCAATATTCTGCTATAGCGTTGATTTGTTATTCTTTCATTCCTTCCATTCAGTGAAATTGCATATACAAAATATGGTTCAAGATGCGATTTTTTATTGGTCCTGATGAGACCTACTGATATTTCATAATTCTGACGGTTGGCGGTTATGCTGTCTTGGGATTCTGACGAAATACTATTCTGCTAAAATGTCAATGAATAATTTGATTATTTGGCATCAGGATATACATTGTGAATTTGCTATAGGTTTATATTTTCCATACGATTCGTCATTTGCAAGATATGAGTATAACTCCGAAAATTTCGAGGTTTTTCGCATTCCTGACCTGAGACGGTACAGCTACGAGGCAGCAAACTTCAGATTCGTGTTCAGCATCCCAAAAAACATATTTCTGCTGATAAACCTTCTACCGCACTTATGTTACCAAAAAGGTCCAGAAAGTTTGATGTGGTCTTAAGATTCTGACGAAATACTATCCTGCTGAAAGGCCAATTGGTTATTTTTGATGGAGCATGAGGAAACACACATCAGGCACGGATAGAGAAATACAATTCTGAAATAGCTGAATGGATCACGTATCAGGGAGTATATCAGTCTAGGTGCAAACAAACCCACCTATCTCCCTTCCTCAAATTGAGGAACTGCTGGGCGATAATACACGCAAAAGTGTGCCCTACCACTCCTCCTCTAACTGGCTTCGCAGCCAACCCTCCGCTAAACAAATCCACGTCATCCACGTGCCGATACACCCTCCTGAAGCGCTTGATCGTCCCCGACGCAAAAACCACCTCCAGGTCCCTCCATCCTCTCATGGTGCTCAGTACCGCCACTGTAACATATTTTCCATACGATTCGTCGTTTTTTTTATGTTCTGGTTCCCACGAAAAGGGATATCCTGTGATGTTCAGAGAACATCGTGAGAACCAAGGGAAATAAGGTGGGAATTGATGTTCTTTCTAAATTTCTGGAGGTTATATGCCTTGGGAACATCTCCATTGGCAATGTGTTCCAGAGCCTCGCTGTTCGTTGAATAAACGAGTCTTTGGAAAGGGATGTTCTGCAGGTCTCCAAAGTGACCACGAAAAGGTGCGAAGCCTCAACTCGACGGGTTAATCTCGCGGGGACTGCCAATGGAGGAACATTTCGAGATCTTTGGCATTCCTGACTTGAGCCAGTACAGCTACAAGGCAGCAAACTTCAGATTCGTCTTCAGCATCCCAAAAAACATATATTTCTGTTGAGACACTTTCTATCGCACTTATGTTCCCGAATAGCCCTGCAAGTTTGATATAATATATGACGATTCTGACTATTTATGGTTATGTGGTCCTAAGATTCTGACGGTTGACGAAATACTATCGTGCTGAAAGGACAATTGGTTATTTGTGATGGAGCATGAGGAAACACACATCAGGCACGGATAGAGGAATACAATTCTGAAATAGCTGAATAGATCACGTATCAGGGAGTATAGCAGTCTAGGTGCAAACAAACCCACCTATCTCCCTTCCTCAAATTGAGGAACTGCTGGGCGATAATACACGCAACCACCACCCCTCCTCTAACTGGCTTCTCAGCCAACCCTCCGCTGAAGAAATCCACGTTATCCACGTGCCGATACACCCTCCTGAACCGTTTGATCGTCCCCGACGCAAAAACCTCCAGGTCCCTCCATTCCCTCACGGCGCTCAGTGACGCCACTTTGACATTTTTTTCCATACGCTTCGTAGTTTGCAAGATATGAGCACAATTCCGAAAATTTCGAGGTTTTTTGAATTCCTGACAGCTATACGAGGCAGTAAACTTCAGATTCGAAAAGGCTCTGCAAGTTTGATATTGTATGACGATTCAGACTATTTATGGTTGTATCGTCTAAGGATTATGACGAAATACAATTCTGCCGGAAGACCAATTGCTTATTTGTGATAGAGCATGGGAGAACACACATCAGGCACGGATAGAGAAATACAATTCTGAAATAGCTGAATGGATCACATATCAAGAGGTATATCAGTCTAAGTGCAAACAAACCCACCTATCTCCCTTCCTCAAATTGAGGAACTGCTGGGCGATAATACACGCGAAAGTGGGCCCCACCACTCCTCCTCTAACTGGCTTCTCAGCCAATCCTCCGCTGAACAAATCCACGTCATCCACGTGCCGATACACCCTTCTGAACCGCTTGATCGTCCCCGACGCAAAAACCTTCTCCAGGTCCCTCCATTCCCTCATGGTGCTCAGTACCGCCACTGTGACATATTCTCCATACGATTCGTCGTTTTTTTATGTTCTGGTTCCCACGAAAAGGGATATCCTGTGATGTTCAGAGAACATCGTGAGAACCAAGGGAAATAAGGTGGGAATTGATGTTCTTCTTAATAAATATCTGGAGGTTTTATGCCTTGGGGAACACCTCCATTGGCAATGTGTTCCAGAGCCTCGCTGTTCGTTGAATAAACGAGTCTTTGGAAAGGGATGTTCTGCAGGTCTCCAAAGTGACCACGAAAAGGTGCGAAGCCTCAACTCGACGGGTCAATCTCGCGGGGACTGCCAAGGGAGGAACATTTCGAGATCTTTGGCATTCCTGACTTGAGCCAGTACAGCTACAAGGCAGCAAACTTCAGATTCGTCTTCAGCATCCCAAAAAACATATATTTCTGTTGAGACACTTTCTATCGCACTTATATATATATATAAATCCTTTATTTAGTCAATTTGGCTAATTTACATTTTCATGTCATTGCAATAGTCACAATGAGATCGGTATATAGTTAATTCATACACTTGTCACAAAAAAAATATTTACACATAATTTATATATATATACACATCTATACACATCCAAAAAAAAAATATTTGATAAATACACAAAATAATTTAAAACATACTAACACATGTACATTGGCGTTATCTGAATATTAAAATAATCTTAACAAAATGAGGAAGTGGCTACTAGGATTTTCATTGATTGAGAAAATATGATTTCAACTTTGTCTTGAAGGATGTTAAAGATGTTAAATCTTTGATCTCTTCTGGCAGCTTATTATAGCTATCAAGTCCTTTGAAAAAAACAGAATTTTGAGTATGTGTTAATGTGACTTGTTGAATATGGAAGTTAGATCTAGATCTTGTATTGTATCCATGGATCTGGTCATTGTATAAAACTTTTTCTTGTAGATATGTTGGAGAAATTTTATTTCTTATTTTGAAAATGAGGATTAATGTTTGGTAGAGGAGAAAAGGAATAACTGGTAACCATTCTAGTTGCTTCAACATATCTCTTATTGGTGTTAGTCTTGGGCAATTTAGAATTATGCGCATCGCTCGATTTTGGAGTTTCTGTAAACGAGCTAGATCATTCTGTTTCAGAAGATATAGAATTGTAGAACAATAAGTAAAATGCGGAAGCACTAATGAATTGTAAAGTAAAATGTTTGCCCACCTTGTCAAATATGGGGCACAACGAGATAGATACTGAATTTTGAATGCTATCGTCTTTATAATGAAGTTGGCATGTTCTCTGAACTGTAATCTCCTATCCACATGAACCCCAAGATATTTGAATTGGTTGACCCGTTCCACATTATCAGGACCTAGCATAATCTCGAAATTTTGGTTACAAAAAACTTTGAATCGTTTTTCTGTACTTATTACCATGTACTTTGTCTTCTCAACATTGACCTTCAAATAATTAGCACAGCACCAACTGTAAATAGATTTTAAAGTTGTGTTGATAGTTTCTGTGAGTTTTGTGTGATCATTACATGAGAAATAAATCAGTGTATCATCTGCGAATAGATGAACTGAACTCTCACCTACCACCTCTGGCAAATCATTGATATACATCAAAAATAACAGGGGGCCCAGCACACTTCCCTGAGGTACTCCTTGTTCGCATTCTATATCATCTGATACTTCATTATTTATCTTAAGCTTTTGTTTTCTGTTCTTCAAAAAACTTCCCAACCATTTCAATACTATCCCATCTATTCCTACTGCTGCTAATTTTTGTAATAATCTATCTCTGTGTATTGTCTCAAAAGCTCTTTGCAGATCCAAAAATACTGCAACCGTAGTCACTTTTTTTTCTAGGCTGATTTTCCAATCATCTAGTACACACTGAACTGCTGTTTCACAACTATGTTTATTTCTAAACCCTGATTGATATTTACTCAACAGTTTATTATTCTCAATATACTCCACTAATTGATTATAGACTGTCTTTTCAATTATTTTTTCAATTGAGGTCAACATGTTCACTGGTCTCAGATCCGAGGCTTTATTTGAGTTTGTTTTCTTCGGAACAGGAATGATTGTAGAAATCTTCAAGTCATCGGGTACCTCCCCTGTTAGTAATGAAGTATTAATAAGATTCAGTAATGGTTCTGCAAGGTTTGTGAAACAATTTTTAAAAAAGGCAACATTCAAGTCATCTGGACTTCCCTTATTTTTGAACGAAAAAACAATGTTTTCTAATTCTTTGAGATCTAATAGTGAGAAGTTTTCTATTGAATTATAAGTAACCCCCAGATTTGAATTAGATGCAATCGGAAAGTCGATTTCTGCTAAATCAATATTATCTATTAATCTGTTGATACTTTCCACAAAGAAATTATTCAGCTTGTTGGACATACCATTCTCATTGCTAATTATTTCATTATCACTTATTTCTATTTCCCTTATTATATGATTCTCATTTTTACTCGGACAAATATTTTTCATTACCCTCCACAATTCAACCGAGTTTGTTTTATTTTCCTCAATTTTTCTTTCGTAATATTCTCGCTTTTTCCTCCTCATAGTTTTTACTGCTATATTTCTTTTTTGTTTGTAAATGTGTTTGAGTTCTTCTGTTCCCCGCTGCTTCCACTCTTTATAACAGTCATCCCTATTTTTCGTTGCTTCCCTCACTTCTTCATCATACCATTCTCTATAATGTGGATAAATCTTTACTATTTTTTTTGGTGCTGTTTCATCATAAATCTCATATATTTTATTGAAGAAGTCTCTATATTTTTCATTTATGTCAGTTATTGTGTAGTTCCATTTTAACTTTGATAGTTTCTCATTAATTTTATTGAAGTCTATATTTCGGCCTCTACTTTCTAATTCTAGAGATTTTTTCCCATTAGAACAGTAACCACAATACAAAATAATATTATTGTGGCTTGATATTTTTGGTGTTTCCATAACTTCTGAATCAATAAAAGATTGTTCATTGGTTATCACCAAATCTATCAAACTTCCCCCATTCTCAGTTGGATGAGTTATATCATTAATAATATTGTTACATCCCATATCAGATATCATGTTTTTCAATCTATCATTTTCAGGAGCACTCTTTCGCCAATCTATATTAAAATCCCCAGTAACCACCACCATCATTTTTTGGTCATATAAATTTTCTTCACACCAACTTTCGAAAAAATTTAAAAATTCTGTACAATTATTACCACTAGGCGATCTATATAGGCACACCACCAAGTAGTGTTTTCCGTTATAAAATGCTGTAACTGCACCTAGCCAATATTTTTTTGGTACTGCCAAACATTGTGTATTGCTAATTTTGATATCTTTTCTGAAATATATAAGGACTCCTCCAGTATGTCTACTGTCACTATTAACCCTCAAATTATTATAACCTGCAAAACTAATTTCAGAATCGAATATGTGATCCGTTACATGCGTCTCAGATAGGCAAATAAAGGGGGGTTTTATGTCAAGAATTAAATTATAAATTTCATCATAGTGCGCAGGGAGACTTTGAGCATTTAGATATAACAAAAAACACTGCCGGTGTGTGTCTTCTTCAACTAGTTTTTTGTAATTTTTTTGGTACAATTTGAGTTTTTTTGATGAAAATTAGATCTCATTACTGAAGTATCAGGTGTTTGACAGAGATTATTTGAAGAACTGGTACCTACAATATTTTTGTTGAGCTTCGCATTTTTATCACTGCTAGAAGAACATACTTCTGATATTATTCTGTTCACAATAATTTTTTTGGTTAAAAACGAGTTGTTTATATTCAAATTCATGAAGAAAATATTGTCTTGTTCAATAATTGATTTTTGTAGTCTCAAGTTAAAATTGAAAATTTTGTTTTCAGTCTTTTCATCAAATTTTCCAAAGGGCGCAGATACCATTACAATATTAGTATTTTTGCAGAGGCTAATTTTAGCAGTAATTTTTTCTACATTAGGTATTCTATTACATTTGAAATCATTAATTCCTGCTACAACAATAACAAAGTCATTTTCACTGAAATCTCCAGATAAACTATCGATATGTTCAACCACAGATTCAAAATGGGCACCTGGTTTCAAAATCGACACAGTATTACAGTTTTTCAACTTCGATTTGAAAATTTTGTCAATATTACGACCCTGTTGATCAGCAAGTATCATTATCTTCATATTCGTACTGCCATTCTTCAAAAAACTTTTTTTGGTGTTAATCAGTGGAATAATCTCTTCTCCGAGATTGGTTGTTAACTTTCCATGTTCGTTATTTTCTTTTTCCCTTTCTTTCTGTTTTTCAAGTGCTTCATTTTTGAACTTATGGAACTCATTCCTAATTTTTTTCAATTCATCAGAATATAAGTCATTTTCCTTGGTGAGAACTTCGATTGAAGTCAACATACTCTTTCTCATTTCGGTTAGTTCTTTTATGTCCTCTTCTAGTTTTTTCACTTTTGATTCATTCTCCTTATTTATCCCTTGTAGTAAATTAGTGTTATCTCTCATTTGTCTTATTTCTCTATTAAGTTCATTTATTGTAAGTCGGTGTTTTTGGGTCTCGAGTACAAAACCCTCTTCTGCTTCACAGGCTTCGTCTTCAAAATCTTTACTTCTTCTCCTGAGTTCCTTGATATACTTCTCCTTGTCGTCATTATCTTTTTTTAGAATCTGAATTTCTTTTTCGTAATGTTCTATCCTATCACACTCTTCCTTTTCTTTCAATTCTAGTGCATTTCGCAGATGTTCTATTTCCTTCTTGAGTTTAAGAAATTCATTTTCGTCGCTTGTATTCATTGTAGGATATTTTTTACTTTGTGAGGTAGTTTTTGAAACCTTGATTGCAGTTTGAGAATAATTCTGAGATATGTTCTGTGATCTTGTCAACCTTTGAGACATTGTTTCAATTATTTTTTAATAACGAATTTCCAGTACTTAATTTCCAAATGTTGATATCTTTCGAATACAACAATGTCTACTATTCAATGTACTAGCAGAGTTATGTTTCAACTATTTCTGAAAACTACAAGTTGACCATTGGTGGGATGGAACTCCGGTCATCCGTTTAAAGGTAGATAAGACAGTTTGTTTATTGTTGTTGGGTTCTTGTATGCAAACATGAAGTGAAACTGACTAATTGCGAAGACTTACTATTTGCTAACAGCTATGAGCATCCACAATGAACTTAACTTCCACCTGTGTCACTTCAAATAATTTTGAGTTTCTTTTTTCACTACTTTATATTTCATATTATGAGAGCCAGAATTTTTTAGATGTTTTACTATTCCACCATAGGAATTATATTACTATACGATGGAAGTAGAAAGTTTATTTTCACACACAAATGTGCGGCTGGCTTCTGTTTGTTGTTCCCGAATAGCCCTGCAAGTTTGATATGATACATGACGATTCTGACTATTCATGGTTATGTGGTCCTAAGATTCTGACGGTTGACGAAATACTATCGTGCCAAAAGGACAATTGGTTATTTGTGATGGAGCATGAGGAAACACACATCAGGCACGGATAGAGGAATACAATTCTGAAATAGCTGAATAGATCACGTATCAGGGAGTATAGCAGTCTAGGTGCAAACAAACCCACCTATCTCCCTTCCTCAAATTGAGGAACTGCTGGGCGATAACACACGCAACCACCAACCCTCCTCTAACTGGCTTCTCAGCCAACCCTCCGCTGAACAAATCCACGTTATCCACGTGCCGAACCGTCCTGAACCGTTTGATCGTCCCCGACGCAAAAACCTCCAGGTCCCTCCATTCCCTCACGGCGCTCAGTGACGCCACTTTGACATTTTTTCCATACGCTTCGTAGTTTGCAAGATATGAGCACAATTCCGAAAATTTCGAGGTTTTTTGAATTCCTGACAGCTATACGAGGCAGTAAACTTCAGATTCGTGTTCAGCATCCCAAGAAACATATATTTCTCTTGAGAAACCTTCTACCGAAAAGGCTCTGCAAGTTTGATATTGTATGACGATTCAGACTATTTATGGTTGTATCGTCTTAGGATTATGACGAAATACAATCCTGCCGAAAGACCAATTGCTTATTTGTGATAGAGCATGGGAGAACACACATCAGGCACGGATAGAGAAATACAATTCTGAAATAGCTGAATGGATCACGTATCAGGGAGTATATCAGTCTAGGTGCAAACAAACCCACCTATCTCCCTTCCTCAAATTGAGGAACTGCTGGGCGATAATACACGCAAAAGTGGGCCCTACCACTCCTCCTCTAACTGGCTTCTCAGCCAACCCTCCGCTGAAAAAAACCACGTCATCCACGTGCCGATACACCCTCCTGAAGCGCTTGATCGTCCCCGACGCAAAAACCTCCTCCAGGTCCCTCCATTCCCTCATGGTGCTCAGTACCACCACTGTAACATATTTTCCATACGATTCGTCGTTTTTTTCATGTTCTGCCAAGGGAGGAACATTTCGAGATCTTTAGCATTCCTGACTTGAGCCAGTACAGCTACGAGGCAGCAAACTTCAGATTCGTCTTCAGCATCCCAAAAAACATATATTTCTGTTGAGACACTTTCTATCGCACTTATGTTCCCGAATAGCCCTGCAAGTTTGATATAATATATGACGATGGAGCACGAGGAAACACACATCAGGCACGGATAGAGAAATACAATTTGGAAATAGCTGAATGGATCACGTATCAGGAAGTATATAGGTGCAAACAAACCCACCTGTCTCCCTTCCTCAAATTGAGGAACTGCTGGGCGATAATACACGCAAAAGTTGGCCCCACCACTCCTCCTCTAACTGGCTTCTCAGCCAACCCTCCGCTGAACAAATCCACGTCATCCACATGCCGATACACCCTTCTGAACCGCTTGATCGTTCCCGAAGCAAAAACCTTCTCAAGGTCCCTCCATTCCCTCACGGCGCTCAGTCCGCAGGGCCCCCTCCAAGAGGTGTAGGGCGGGAGGCCGTGGTCCCTGCCCCGCTGCACGTTGATGGCGGTGAGGTCGATGCCGAAGGGCATTCCAGGTGGTTGGAAGAGGTGGTTGGTGAGCTCGTCGCAGACGAATTCGTCCCTTCGCTGCGCGGGTTGGTCGCAAAGGCCCAGGAGGAACCTGTCCAGCGAACCGAAGCTCCAGATGTTCTCGAAGTTGGTCATCTCTTCGTGGAGGGTTACGTCTGGAAAAAATCATGGATGAGGTAGAAGAATGATGATTGAGGTTCTTCAACTGGTCAACCGAGTAGAGTCAATCGCCGATACTTGGGACAATTTTCGACAGCGTAGCGACTGGCCAGTTAATATGCCAAGCCAAAGGTTATGAGTTCGAATCCTGTACTCCTTCAACTTTATTATTTATTTTTTCTCTCTCTCGTCGCAGTGATTAGATGAAAAAAATACTTTGGAGGCATTCACAGATCAGGTTCATTCAATTTTCGAGGATGTTCGAATTGGAGTTTCAACATATGAATATTACAAATCGACTATGTCATTGTGGTCGAGTTTCTTGTTGAATACTTATAATGGATACTAACCTATGTTATTTATTCTTGATGACCTAGCTAGTACTTCCATTTCAGTTCCTAGGAGTTGAAGTTCAACTTTAGGAATTTGTCAGATAAATTGTGAAACACTAAGTATATTGAACAACAATATACTCTGTGTCCCATACTTGGCAATAAATATTGGAAATCAGTTGATAACAATCATCGATATCAGGAAACAGGTTTGAATTGAAAATTTTCGTCCTGTATTTCAATAAGAGGTGAATTTTTGAAAACGTCTCGAGTTAATAGTCTAATATAAATAATGGATATCGAGAAGGCCGTTTCTGAATATACTGAATCGAATGGGCCATGGTTTTAGTCACCATTTTTGATTTTTTTTTACTGAAATGAGATTTTGTCCTATTTCCTTATCATCCTGTATATTCCACAATAGTGCTTTTCTCGTCTTTCATTGTTCTCCACAAAACATGTGAACAGTTCTTTCCAATAGTCAGCTCAAGTGGAGTTCTAGAGGAACAATTCGAGAAATGCAAGACTTTCGAATAAAAATCGAATTTTTGTTCCAATGGCCAATTAAGGAGGAATCACGAAAATGTCCTGAGATAAGGTCCCAGTGTATCATATTATGACTGTTTTTTGATCAGAAAAAAATGTCTCGAGTTCTGGCAGCATTGGAAATGTAAACCATAGTGTAATGTTTCCACTTTACACCCTGTGTATGTTTTGTTCTGCGGACTTTTTCAGAGTGTTCTAGCTCTCTTTGAAGCCGATGAAATATCACATCTGATATCGAAAACCGCATGAAGTTCGGTCAATTTTTTCAAAAAATACAGGTCTTCGAAATAGAGTCAAATTATGAGTGGTCCATTTAGTGTGTTGAGAACTGTATATAATGATAGGAAATATAAATAGGAAATATGAATATGAAAGAATGGAGAAAAAAAGGATGAATAAAGAGAATTTTTTAAAAAACTTGTGTCTTGAAATGAAATAGAATATGTAATTCGATTATATTGATTGATTTGTATTTGTTTTCAACAACCCTTACAACAAGTTACACTTCGTAAGGTTTTTCTTTAGTTCATTCAATGCACTAAATATTTATAACTCTTATTATGGAAAATGTTCTGAACTTATTCATTATTATTATTATTATTATACCTACTGTTCAGAATCGGCCTGTGCTTGTGATCTGTCCTGACATAGGAATTTTGCACCATGCTGTGTCCAAATCTGTATGCGGCAGAGCTGAAAGCGTTCGCTATGGCAGGATCCACTCTATCATCGTATCCGTTGTAATATCCTCTCGCCACCAAATCGAGTTCGAAGAGCTTGATAACCTCAGGGCCCAATAGTATGGGCAGGAATTCGTGGTAGGTGATATGCTGGATGAGAGCATACACTATTTTTCTTGTTTCTTGAAAAATCTGCAAAAAATACGTTTTCATAACTTCTTCAAAATTTAGGCCCGATGATTTACTATGGACCTTGCAGCTCCAACGTCTGATATGTTGTGAACTAATCGAAATATATGAGATTTCAACACATGAATTCAATTCATCTTATCATTTCGTATACAGGGAACAAACAAAGGAATCTCTCAAATGATACCTATTACCTATTAAGTATATTTGATGAATGCCTCTTTCGTCTAATTTCAAAAATGTTTACATTTCTCCCAGAACATAGAAATGCCATTATTGTGTGTATTGTATCATCTCCGAATCCATAATTTCTTTGTTGTGATACATGATCAAGACGGTGTCCTAATTGAAATATTGATCTGTCAATTGAAGCATAATTGCAAGTTGCAATCAGTGCAATTGACAGAATAATCTTATTTCTGATTTCAAATCATCATGCATTGTTTCACTTATTGCCCTAATTGCTGATTGAATTTTGCATTCAGACTAATCGCAAGATCAATCCGTCAATTATAAGCTATTGAGATAAACCTTGCAATAAGCTTACTTGGATAAATAATCTCGTAATTATAACTTTCGACAAAACAATATTTTGCCATCCTTCATAGCTTAATTAACAGATTGATCTTGTAATTACACTCATTGAAGGATTATACTTTCAATTAAGTACCAATTACAATACCGATCTGTCAATTGAAGCATGATTGCAAGATAAATCTTACCATTAGTGACGTAGTGTAATTGACAGAATAATCTTGCATCAATTATGGTTTTGAACGGGAAATCACCTGCCTTATTGCTCTAATTGAGTAATCGCTAGATTAATCTTTCATTCAGACTAATGCAAAATCAATCTGCAAATTGATTGATTCAATGGAAATTGTGTCTGGCCAGCACGCCAGCCACCCTGTCGTGGTACCTGATCCAGACGGTATCCGTATCCTAATTGCAAGATTGATCTGTCAATTGAAGCATTATTGCAAGATGAATCTTGCAAATTGGTGTAGTATCTATTAATTATGCCCTTATTTCATGTTGGATATGTCGATTGAAGCATAATTGCGAGATAATTTGAATTGAATTGAATTGAATATTTGCAAGATGGATTTTAATTAATTTTATTCTTATTTCCCCAATTGCTGAATGAATTTTGCATTCAGACTAATTACAATGATCAATCTTGCTTCCAGACTAATTACAAGATCAATCTGTCAATTGAGCTATGATGATAAATCTCGTAATCAGCTTAATTAAATAACAAGCACAATTTTTTTAAATCCTTTCTAGCTCAATTAACATGGTCCCCTCTACCTCCAATGGAAATTGTGTCTTGCCAGCGCGCCAGCCACCCTGTTGTGGTACCTGATCCATACAATAACCTAATTGAAAGATCGGTCTGTCAATTAGTCAGGTTATTTTACTATGTTTTTCCTACAAATATTATTCTTTGTTTGCCAATTTGAAGTTATTGATGTATTTAGAATGATGAGATGTTTACTTCCTTATACCGTATCCAGTTCTGTCTGGAAGTTATTTGTTTGTAAATAAATCGAAGCATACTTGCAAGAAATCTAATTGCGAAGTCAAGTCTTAATTGCAATGAGGGCCACTCTACCTTCTCGTCGCTCCAATGGGGATTGTATCTGGAAAGCACGCCGGCCACCTTGTTGTGGTACCTAATCCACACAGTGCCCTAATTGCAAGATTGATCTGTGTCAATTGCAGTATAATTGCAAGATAAACCTTGCAATTAGTATAATCAACAAGATAATTGTGCAATCATAATATCAACTAATTCTCTTCTTATTTCCATAATTGCTGGATCAATTTTGCATTCAGACTAATTACAAAATCAATCTTGCATCCAGACTGATTACAAGATCAATTTTTCAATTGAGCTTGACCATCACATCTAGCTCAATTAACATGTTCCCCTCTACCTTCTCATAGCTCCAATGGGGACACGCCAGCCACCCTGTTGTGGTACCTGATCCATACAGCATCCAAATTGCAAGATTGATCTGTCAGTAATGTTATTTCACTATGTTTTCTCCACAAATAATTTTAACAGCATTAACAGATAGTTCTGTAGCAGAACGAAGGAAAAAACCTTGCATTTTACGAGCACGAGATGATGTTTCTATTATGTGATGTTTGAAGGTCATTTTCGAGTCGAATAATACTCCTAAGTCTTTGATTGTATTGGTTACTGATAGATTAGTGCACAGCCGTCTAAGACGGCTGTGATTAGTGTCATTAACTCTGTTAATATGATCAATAGCATTATGGCTTCGGGAAAATGTTATCTTTTGACATTTATTAAAATTCATTTTCAATAAATTAATATGGCACCATCTGGAAATAGTTATTTAGATCGAGCTGCAAACCCTCAGCATCAGAAATGCATTGAACCGTTCTAAACATCTTCGGCAAACATCAAGAAGGAACTATTAATGATGACATCAGAGAGGTCATTTACATAAAGATTGAATAACAGAGGTGCCATGTGAGATCCCTGTGGTACACCTGATGGTACTTTGATTGGTTGTGAAACTGAGCTCCCATATTTCACATATTGCACTCTACTAGTGAGATAGCTTCTGATCCAACTTAAGATATTCGCCTCTATACCCAAAGCATCAAGTTTTGCAAGTAACATTCTATGGGTAACTGTATCAAAGGCTTTAGAAAAGTCTGTGTTAATAGAGTCTACTTGCACCTTATTTTCTAGTGAATTGATGATAAAGTCAAGCCTTAATTGCTAGGACCACTCTACCTTCTCGTCGCTCCAATGGGGATTGTGTCTGGAAAGCACGCCGGCCACCTTGTTGTGGTACCTGATCCAGACGGTGTGCAGCGCCGTCAGGCCGGGCTGCTCCCCCAGCCGGCCATCCCCAGGTTGGAGGCAGTCGGCCGTGAGGGCGCCTGCGCGGCACAGTTCGCCGTGGGGGGGATCAGGGGGGCGAAGTGGTTCGCCGCCAGCGTGGGGGCGGGGCCTGCCGTACACTATTTTACCTTGGGCACGAAATATGAATCAGTGTTGTTATATGGAAGGCGAATTCCCGTTTTCGTGGGAATTTTTGGAACGTTGAGGGGAAAAGGGATTTTTCTGGAAAAAGGCTGTTTGGGAGGGAGATTTTGATGATATCGCCAGGTTCTGAATTCTGAGGAAAACAACGATAGTTGACGTTCGACAAGACTTTATTTTGTGATCTGAACACAGAACACATAATTATAGATTATTTATTGTTTCGTGATTTGACTGTTTAGGCAAAGGTGTTTAGGCAGTGAGGAGAAAATATTGGCGGTATATGATACTGAGAAGACAATGGGGAAATGATAATATAATGAGAAGATTGGGGACAATAATTACAGGATAATAAGAATGAGGGTATGACGTTAGGATTACTAGGGAATATGAATAAGAAGAGCAAATTATAATGCGATGATAATACGATGATTATGAGAGGATAATGAGACGATAATTGCGATAATCACAAAAATATAATTAGAGATAAACTAGAGGATAATGAGAGGATAATGTAACTAGAACAAATTTGATAAATAGGTATGACTTCTCTGAAACATTATGTCTATCACTTCCTTCACTTCATTTTTGTCATCGATTCATTCCTCGTGTGATAATCCAGTGAATAGAGACACATAGAGGGGGTTCACCTTACAAACGGTCCGGTAGTTCTGAATTTTTGATATGTTATCTAGGATGGTTACGGAGTGTTCAAGATGCAAAATGCACAATTCCCCCCCTTCCGCGCCCTCCGCCATATTAAAAAAACCCAAGGAAATCGGCACTTCCTCCAGGTTTTCGCTTATATCTTCGTTTTGGTGCATTTTAGCTACAATTGGGGAATTGTGCATTTTGCATTTCAAACACTCTGTAACCATCCTAGATAACATATCAAAAATTCAGAACTACCGGACCGTTTGTAAGGTGAACCTCCTCTATTCACTGGATTATGAAGTGAATTGGAAAGAAAATGTCGCAGTTGGAGTGCTTCTTATTGCAGAAGAGACTATAGGTGCTATCACAGCCCATGTGCGACATGTTCATTGCATCTGACCATACAGGAAGCTTTATAGAAAGTAATAGTTTGAAACCTGCACAATCAATATTTTTCTCATAATCTTGAATAAGTATAATAATCTCATCAAGAAATATACAAGTTGTTTATATGATGAACTGAGGAGAACATCAAAGTTCAATTTGAAAAAACAGTTATGGGCACTTATGGGTGATATCTGCATAGTGAGTTATTTCAATATTTTCAAGTAGAATAACCCAGATATCTGCTGGACTATCCGGAGCTCTGCAACTCCTCGTAACCAGTCTTTGGGATATGACTGATCAGTCATGAACCACCCTATATATATATATGAGTTATCGAATAAGTAAGACTTCATGTGCACACTGTATTTTTTTGTAGAAATTGTATATCGTTCTTTCGAAGTTGGAAACCGACTCCCCAAAATTTGAAACTTGTGCGGGGAGCAGGACCTATAACTTATAGACCATTCGTACACCGTTTGGAAGTCCAAATAGCATATTGGAGCATCTTTCTAATTAAACTACACTAATTTTAATGGAACCCCAAAATTTTGCCTCTGTTGAAATATGAATCACTTTTTTCTGCTTCGAACGATTCGAATTCGGATCACACTGTTGGCTAGCTCAGTCCTTCAGCTATAATCTCGTAACTCTTCAAAACATAAGGCGATGTGTAAAATTGCTACAGGGTGTTACCCGAAACAGTGCGAAATTTCGGAAATTCCAAATTATCCCGAATGGAGAAGAACTTTTTTCTTTCAACTTTCACAGTAGAGGTATGTAGATGATCACATTATCTTGGGACAGTTCTTGAATTTTCTCCTTATCTCTTTTATTTACAGAGTGATCTCAAAAAATTAACTTTTTGGTTTTGCAGCCATAACTTTTTCCCTCGTCAACCGATTTTTGAAATCTCTGGCACATTTTGAAGCTTAAACTTCAGATGAAGAGAAATGAAGATCAGAATTGACTCAAGATGAACATTATACAGTGTGTTCCACTTATAATGGAAGCATCCCTGTATCTTTTGTAATTGTTGTTAGGAATCTGAAATTTGCAAGAGCGGTAGAAATACTGAGAATACACACTATGACCAAGTGTAGTCGCCTCCACCGATATACACTGCTCGTCAACAGCCATGGAACCACCCACAAAAATGATATAAGGAGGCAATATAGGTTGAAATTTACTTCGGATTCAAAATCAAGACGTCCCTTTCGCTTCCTCCCCTACAAATTTCTGAACCCTACCCCAATAATTGCGTGAGATACGGATGTGCTTTCATGAGAAGTGAGACAAAATTCAATTTTTCTGAACTGACAATTTTCCAGGAAAAATATTTATAGTCAGTGAATTGGTCGTCCTGATTTCAAATCCGAAGTGATTTTCAACCTATCTTGCCTCCTTTCCGGAAATTTGGGTAGTTCCATGGCTGTTGGCGAGCAGTGTTCATCACTGGAGATGACTCCACTTGGTCATAGTGTTTATTTTCAGTATATCTCCCGCTCCTGTAAGTTTCAGAATCCTAACTCAACAATTACGAAACATACAGGGGTGCTTCCATTAGAAGTGAGACATACTGTATAATGTTCATCTTGAGTCAATTCTGATCTTCATATCTCTTCATCTGAAGTTTCAGCTTCAAAATGAGATTTAAAAAACGAGTTGACAAGGTAAAAAGTTATGACTGCAAAACCAGAATGTTAATTTTTTGAGATCACTCTGTGAATAAAAGAGATAAGGAGGAAGAAAGGAAAACTGTTCCTAGGTAATGAGATCATCTTTGTGCTTCTGCTGTCGAAGTTGAAAAAAAAAGTTCCTGTTCATTTGGGATCCTTTTGAAAATTCCGCAATTTCTCAGTTTCAGGTGACACCCTGTAGCGATTTCATAAGAAGAACCTCATGTTTTTTAAAGAAGTACGAGATTATAGCTAAAGGACTGGGCTAGCGGAAAGTGTAATCCGAATTCAAATTGTTCAATGCAGAAAAAAGTTATTCATATTTCAAAGGGACAAAATTTTTGAGCTGCGACGAAATTATAGTAATGCATAGTTTAGATGAAAAGGCTAGTAGGTACCTGATGAGTACCTACCTGATAGGCAAGAGCCCCATACTCGTCGACTATGTATATTCTTCATTCAGAGACTGTATTGAAATATCAATTAACACTCACCATTCCTGAAAGTTCTGATGGAATCCGACGTTTCGACATCACTTCCATAAATTGTGGAGGCATCAATGAATGGTGTCACCTGATTGATTTGCTCCCTCCATCCCAGGTCACAGTCGATTCTGGTCGATGGAGCACTCCTCAAAAACTCCATGCATCGTAAGCCGAATTTACCGAAAAACCAGTCGTCTTCTGGGATTTCTATAGGTAGACAAGATGGATGCTGAAAGAAAGAGGATTCAGAATGCAAACTGTGCTACGAAAGAAACAAGGATCACTTGTTTGGCATTTATTTTGTGCTGTGCTGTAGGTTATAGAACAATGGGCGTGTACACCTTAGTAGAACTTTTAATTCACACCATGTTTATAATGATCCTTTTATACATAAATAATGATTGACGACATAATTCGATCGAAAAATTAACTGGAATATTTTATTTTTGGGCATAAATAATAGTACCTTTTGAAAACGGACCCTCTTATGCCGTAGAAACCTCATCTCGCCATAGTTAAAAGAAAACACCAAACGCCCGACGGAGACTGAGGCAACTGATATATTAATTCTTTCAACTGTGATCTCGCGCTAATTCACTCTGTCAGAAATCATGTATCATTCATCTCTGTCTGGAATAGTCTTATTGTATTAGGGTTTTGACGTCACATCACCATCGCCTCGTTTTCAGAGGTCCGAAAAATCGGGGATTTCAATATTTTTTTGCGGTGGTGAGTTAGTTTGGGTGAGTTCTATCGAATTATGAAATACATTTTTTCTGTGATATAAGCCCATTGAATTATCTCAATGAAGTTACCAGGGATCTTGGAGTAATCAAGAGTAGTCACTATGAGTATATTACTCTCGAATGAATAGACATTGGTAACGCATACCTACGCCTCTTCGTCCTCACTATACATTGGTGACATTGAAGTAAATACAAATATCTCAATCCCTGAGGAACCTCGACGTAGGTATACTGATTGCGAGGGGGTGACCACTGATGGTGAACCTGTTCCAATGAATTCATGATTACATGGTGATTACAAAAGATTCCAAGGGATTTCATGAGAATTCATGGATTTTATGTTGATCACATGATGATTTCATGAAATATATGATTTCATGGTGATTACATGATGATTACATGATGATTCAATGGGATTTCATATGATTCCATGGTGATTACATGATGGTTACATGATGATTTCATAGGATTATATATGATTCCATGGTGATTACATGTTGATCACATGATGATTACATGAAATAGTGTATACTGTGCCCGACTTTTTTCAAATTAAATTCAAATCATTGAGGCAATGATATACTTTCTGATAATATATTCATAACAGCCATTCAATCCTCTTTTCCAAGAAAGTATGCTTGCTCTAATCTTGATTTACTTCTTCAAAGTTAAAAGCATTGGAGGATATCGATGATTTTTTCGTTTTATTTATTGGAGCGCACGAGAGGAAATTCCTATGATTTTCGAAGAACATCGTGCGTACCTAGGGATGATAGGGATGGGAGGTAGGTGTTTGGAACTTTTGGGGGTTATAAATCCTTGGGAATACTTCCATTGGCATCAAAGAATTCCAAAGCTTTGCCGTTCTATATATAGACGAACGAGACGCTTGTATATTTGGAATGGAGGAGTGGGGTCGTAGCAACATAGGCATATACACTACCTGACACTACTATTATACTTCCTACTTTCAGAAAAGTATCACCAATATCATATAACCTGTTTGGATGGACACACCCCACCTTGTAAAATTCAAAATATAACTCATAAGTACCACTAGTGAATTTTGTGATATGTAGAACGTAAACAAACATCCCTGGAATGTCACATTCATGTCGCGTTAGGTAACAATGCGAATTACAAAGAAACATCATTGGTATTGCCAGGGACTCTTTGTTTTATAAAACATCCGCAATATTCGTCACATATTATTGGATTCGAGACTTAAAATGGAGGTGAATTTGTCACTGGAACCTCACATTCTTGACTATTTATGTAACAAACGGAATCAATCAATTTCGATGTTGAATTAGGAGTCGTTGAATACGTACTGTGCGTTTCACTTGGAATCATAATGTGAATCATAAAATGACCAAAAGGGTACGGAAAAGCAGTCATTGTGATTTGTTTCTTGACTGTGATGCCCTCGTATCTATGGGACCAATCTGTGTTAACTGGGTAGTCTGTTCTACAAAATGAGTACTCATTTATAACTATACATTGGCTCACCGTCAATTCATCTGGTAAAAAAGTCCTTCCTCCGCCATCACAGCATCTGGGTATGGAGCCGTTGAAACTCCTAGATTTGACGACGGAAGTGACGTCATGGTCTATGAATTGGCCCCACTGCATAAACATCAAGGTAACTCCCTGAGTTTCACGATTCTTTTCCCGATGGATTCTCACGCTGATTTGCCTTGGCGATGGTAAAAGTCCACCCACGACAGATCTCCTGATACTCTGAACTCCTATACAGCAAAGAAAACTTTGTGATTGTAATGGGATTACCGACTAATACATAACACTACCTTCTTTGAAGGAAATTTGTGATCACAAACTCTTGCGGTGATTTTCTATACTGTTTTCTATTCGTTGAATCTGACAGGATTTTGCCATCATAGATAGGTAATCACTGATGGAGATACCGAGCATATAAATATCTAAAATTCAAGGGCTGCTTCCTGCTTGTGATATTTCAGGAAATAAAGTTCACATGAACATGCGTCCTAACTTGCATCGTTTTCGAGATACAGGGTATTAATATTTCCATGATAGTTCGTTTTTTTATTCACTCAATTGTCTTTCTATTAATTCCAATAAAACGTTGTGGTTTCGTTGATAACAATATGGAGCTTCTTCTGGTGCAATTAGAATCGAAATAATATTTTCAGTGGCGTCACAGTGGGTAAGTTTATTGATATTTATGGTGAATGTTATTAGATTGAACTATTGAAATTACAACTTTTTTATCCTATGTTTGATTAGAGTATGTAGCTTATTTTTTGAGGAAACAATAAAAATCCGATTTGACTCCAAATTTCAATGTAGGTGTTTTCAAGACTTCCATTGAGATTACTCAATAGTCCCAATTAGAATTATTTTGTATTTTGTGGCTTCCTCAGCCTCCATAACCATACTGAATTTTGGCACCATGAAAGCTTATACAGGGGGGGGGGGGGGGTTAGAAATGAAAACAATAATCGATACTTCCAATTTCAACAACCTGTAAGAAGAGGAGGAGGCTACCCCTCCCTGATTTTTCACAAAAAATAATATTACGATGGAATAAAATGTTTGTTATATGACATGCAGTTCAATATTAGGTATCAAACACGAAATGTATCTGAATAGGGAAGTATAAATATCAGAATTTCCAAAAATGTACAAATTGACGCCTTCAACCATTTGAAAATATCAAGGAAATGAAGCGCTTTTAACAGCAATTATTGTCAATCTAGTATAGGTACTACCACAGTATATAACCTCTTAAAGAGGTTATACATCAGGGTATGTCACTACTCACGACGAGCTTATCTCTGAGCTTTCACTATCTCTATATCGGGAATCAGTCAGGAGAAATCCATGAAAATGTGGATTCCTATATTTCAGAATACTCTCTCTTCATTTGAAATATTTTCGACAATGCAGTGCTGCGCTTCTACTAGAAAGTAGTAGCAACATTGATATCTCAAATAGAACACCCTGTATTTCATCACATTTTTAGATTCTCCCTGAAGAGCTGATTTCCTCGATGCATCACACTTGGGGTCTATCGAAAATGATTACAGAGATATAGGGTGTTCAAAATCGAGATATTCAGTATTTATACATATTTTCATGTTTCAATATTTCTTAGAATCCTGTTTCTAGGGCCATGGTTTGACTGATATCTGATCTTTGGATGTGTCTCCCGAATAATATTGGAATACATTGGAAAATTTTTTGTATCTAACTCTGATTTGAGTTAGTTCCTATAGACTTTTCATGCGTCAGCTAACATATTATGTGCATTTGGTATGAATTCAAGAAAGATTCAACTCACCATCTTCATAGAATGGAGGTAAGAATCGCACGAGTGGCAACAAAGAGGATCCTTTCCAAGGTTCTGAAAGATTATTACACGTTCCATCTGCAGTTCTGTATCTCTTCGAAGCCAGCGGACATCTTGGTTTTCCTCTGAGAGGACACGATTCTTCTATCATCCTGGATTTGATGGCATTCGGAAAATCTGTGAATTGTCGACTAGCATTTTCTGGAAAACTACGTAAATTGTTAAAGTTGTGGAGAATATACAAAAAGCAGGATGAAATTCGGTTTGTTAGAGTTCTTTTGCCTAAAATAAAAGAGTTTGAGTCATCAGTAAAGCTTCTAAAGGTGATGTATGCCGTATGGCAAATGTTAGGTTAGTGAGCATATCAACAATAATAATAGCGATTATTCATTTCTCTCCATTTTCCACGGTGTTTGCCTCGGTAATCGAATGAAGGTAAACAATATCGTTGTGTGAGTCAAAAAATATTGCTGGCTGTGATTATTCAAAAACAAGTTATCTAATCAATCAGATTCCAAAAATGAATGAGAAACAGATCAAGCAAGTATGAGATTTTGAAGGCTTTCCTGGGCAAAACAAAAATACTTAAATATAATATGGTGTATTTATATTTCCAGCATGGGTATGAAATCGGGAACAAATCAGATATGGGTCCCAGCCCAAATAACGAACCATAACAATGTTGTTTATTTTTGATGACCTCTAGTACATACTTTTTGGTTCCTAGGAGCTAAAGTTCAACTTTAGCTCTTAGGAACTATAAGTGTTGCTTAGCAACATTCCTATGTTTGTGCCAGTAATAGAAACGTCAATTTAAGAGCTAAATTTGGTATTAAAATTGACTACTTTCGTGTCAGTTGCAGCAAAACGTTTGTGTTAGTATGTGGAATGACAATTGAAAAAATTACGTCTTTTTTCTCGAGGGATTATCAACTGATTGGATTTTTACACATAAGCGATATATCGAAAACATCAAGGTGTCCCAGGTAGGTGAATCCAATTAATTTTGACAGTTCAATACGTAAAAGCCGCTAGGAAATTAATGAGTCACTTTAACCTGTTTGAAGAGACCTAAGGACAACGACGATTGTAAGTTAGGTAAGAAGAAAATATTACTTCGATTTGTGACTAAAATAACAGATCAAATCTTCTGAACATTGGCATGCCCCTGTGTATTTAGTTACTTTATTTTCTTCTGGCTTCAAAAGTGATGTGAACCCAGTTTTGGGAAAGTTGAAAGGGGGTCCATACATTTATTGGTCCAAATTTTATGATTAAAAAGAGAAACTTCGACTTTGAATAGCATGATCTTGTGAGCCACAGGAAATGTAGGAATTCGATCTCCTGAATTTTTTTCATACAACCAACCGTTTGCCAGAAAGTCGTAATCAACTCAACTCATTTCTGCTATCTCAGAGGCGTGCAGTACTGGGATACTTGCACTTGACACTTGATCGGTTATTATGATTACAATTTCAGATAATCTTTTTTAATCCTACTTAACAGTGGCTGTGCTCGGAGGGGGTTCATTTTAGGATTAGGATACATGTTAGTGTTTATTTGAAGAAAAAGTCTTATTTTGATCCCAACAATCCCTCCTTCAAATATTTACATCGATTTTCTAATCACCTTGTATTTATGTTGATGAATTTTCTGTTTCGAGATCTAAATGAGGTTTCTTACCTCTCTGCTATCTTTCTGCTAGCTTCTACTGTGGCATATCCAAATCTTGATAATTCAAGTGCCCTTTCATTGGGTTTCCCAAAATTTGCTACCATACTCGCTGGATGATTCGCATGTAGATATAATCCTACAATTTCATAAACTTACAAAATGAAATGGAGGTCATTTAGATGAATGGATATTTTGTTGACAGAATAAACATTTTTGCAGCTTTGTGACCAAATGAAAGCTATTCAGAAGCCTTTATTTCAGTGACGTATTCCTGTATGTCTAACACAGGTTCTGAAATGAAGAATATTCCAATTTCAGACAAAAAAATTCAATATTAACATTTTTCAATATTCTGTATCTTCTATAAATGATTTGAGTTTCGTCTTCACATGATCACTATCCCTAGAATCAACCTTCTTCTTTACGTTGATTCAATTAGTTTTTCATTTGAAACTTCCATGAGCCCAGAAAGCAAATAACCAATTGGTTGAAACGCCCCTTTTGAATAAATGAGGAACCTAGATACTCAAGATCAGGAAATTTTAGGGAAACCTCATGATCAATGGTTAGCTGCAAAACAGATGTTTCGGTTTGCCAAACCTCATCGGTTGCAATAGGTGAGCTGACAATCATACCGTATACAGGAAACCTACTCATACATCATATTTCAAAGATCATGGAGAAAGCTATCAACATCGAGCTCATGGAATACCTGGAACACTCAGGTATAATCAACGATAGGCAATATGGCTTCCGTCATCAGAGATCAACTGGTGACCTTACGTCTCACATATAAGGCAGTAATATATTGAGAAATATAGTGAAACCTTAGCCGTGGCACTTGATATCTCCAAGGCATCCGATCGAGTCTGGCACCACGGACTCCTCGCCAAGCTTCCATCTTATGCTTGCCTCCCCAGCTATGTTCTGTGCTAGCTAGTTTTCTCTTAAACAGGTCTCTCCATGTAGTGGTCGACGGAGTTTCATCTGACTCTCTTATCATAAATGCTGGTGATCCGCAAGGATCAATTCTAGCACCAATACTATCTCTACTCCATGTCAACGAATCGTTGGAAGCAACTTCATGTCCAGTACACAGCTTCGCGGATGATAGAACTGTCCATACCTTCTCTTCCAGGGCTCCATTATCAGCCAGGCAAATCAGATACGAACGAGGAAGAAACGTTGACAACATAAAAATGGAGTTGGCAACAATTCTCGGATGAGGATCCAATAACTCGGTAGATTCCAATGCAAACAAAACACAAGCATGACTTTTTCTAGAAAAGCCGATCTCACTATGCCCAACATGAGCTTGTCAGGAGTAACCATACCTTTGAAGACATTCATTTCGATGCTTGGTATTACTATCCGCAATAACCTTCCTTGGAAAAATCACGTGAGATCAATTGGTAAAAGTGCGTCCTGTTTCGAGCCAGAAGCTATTTCACTTCCAGTCAACTGCTTATGATCTATAAGGCACAGATCCGACCTGTCCTGGAATACTGTTCCCATATTTGGAGTGCAGTACCCAAACATACCCTGAAATTGTTGGATTCTGTCCAAAAAAAGGCAATTCGTCTCGTAGGTGATGCGAGGCTCTGGAACACATTGCCAGAAATTTGAGAAGAACACCAATTCCTACCTCATTTCCCTTGGTTCTCACGATGTTTTCTGAACATTACAGGATATCCCTTTTCGTGGGAACCAGAACAAATATCAATATCTTCATGCAAACTCCTATCATCATCCTGCACAAACTAAACCAAAAGCGTATCTGCAGAACGCTGAGAAAACATGATATCAAAACTGTTTACACGGCCAACAACCAAGTTTCAAAATTCCTCAGAACTCCCAAGGACACAATATCAAATGATTCTTAGGGCATATATGAAATACTTTGTTCAGTTGGCCCGATGACATATATTGGCCAAACAAATAGACGCGTTACCAGTAGAGTTCACGAACATCAACTGGCAGTCCGAAAAGCAGACCCTTCCTCGGCACTTATCGAATTATCAGTTCTCTCGAAAGACTAGGCAGATTGAGACCTTAGAGAGAACCAATGACGAGATCAGAGGAGAAGGCAGATTGAGACCTCAGTGAAAAATCAGTCCCTATATTTTTCTATCATCTTTTTATTTCCTTTTTCTAGTCCTTGAAAATGGCTCCAAAATCGGTGCCGAAACGTCGAACATCTACAGATTCTAGACGCGGGTCAACCTGAGCTCCTACTTTTCATATATTGCATATTCGTCCATGCAATTTTGAGATAATACTGAATAAGGGCTTTCAAATCAAGTGGGAGAAAAATCACTTGAAAGATCTAGCCGTTTTTGAAATGTATATAGGAATCACACAAATCACAGCATGCCCTGAAAATTGAAACTTGTTAAAGTTTGGAGTGGATCAAACTGTATATCCTGGAATCATTCACATGATTTTTAAAGTTTGGAGTGGGTCAAACTGTATATCCTGGAATCATTCACATGATTTTCTTACCCATCTTGAACCAAATCGGTTCTTTAACTGTCAAGAGATTTTCCAGAGATTCGAAACCATATCTGACGGCACCATCAATTTGATCGCTATCCATTACATAGTCTTCTGTTGTTCTCAATTTCGGTTTTTCAGAATTATTAGCATATTTTGAGGAGATACTCGAGACTATTTTGGACGGTAAGTCAACTTCTTGTGTGTATTTCATCAGATAACATGCTGTGACCAAAAATATGGTCCATGACTGAAAAATTCTGTAACCAATAATACGAATCGTTAAAGAATAACGTTGATTCGTTGAGTATATGTTATTGAAACGTGATCATGTAACGATATTGTCATTGGACTTATTCAATTCCTCAGAAAAATTTTTGAATGAATATTCGAAATTTGACATTGAAATAATACTGCGAATATTTTGGTTATGAGGAAAGTTTTGGGAGATGATTTCCTCATAGCATTCCTTTGATCTTCATTATCTGCTAACAGAGATGAAATTTCAAAGGAAATTCCCCGTCACAGAAAAAATAAAATTGTTCCTCTGTACATTATCTATTTTTTGAAGCGGCAGGGGTAACATTGCAAGCTGCTCCAAAATGTTGAAAATTATGTCCAGGGTCCCGCAGATTCCATAGGGAGATCATTATTGCTATTTCCTAAAGAGAAAGTGATCGAAAATTGATCAAGTCAGACAAAAGCTGCGTATATTTTAATCATCAAAATATGTCGTTCTGCAAAGTGAAAAAAAATCAGCTGTTTTATTTTTCCCAAATTTTAACTGAATAAGAACAGAATCAATGAATGAACTGTTCCTATGAAATCGGTATAGGATCCTGCACAGTGAAGGAATAATGGACGTATATAGGTATTTCCCAATTAAAATAGTACTTTCATCTTGTTTTTAACACAGTGACCAGTTGTGAAGTACTTATTTCCAAAATTAACAATAATTAAAATCAAATATAAAACTCTGTATTGCCGGAAAAAAGATTAGGATCTTTGGGAATGCTTTCGATTGAAATTGATTTGACAAATAATTTGAATAATATAATGATGGTGTAATAAAATGATTCGCAGATTTGAAAATCAGAAAATGATGAGTGATATCGTAATATATTCCTACCAGTATAATTTCGTTATGGTTCAGTAGGTACTTGGTATTAAATTGAAAATATTATATTTTGAACACGGAAAAATAAGCTGTCCTAGAATTTCTAATGACGCTTATACAAGCTAATAGTCTTGAATCAACTGAGAAAAATGATCTTCAATTTCTTTTAGTTTCGAAATTCAGTTATAATATTTTCTATCAATCAATATCAATTCTAAATACAATTTTGTTGATGGAATGAGTTGTTTCATTGGATGAAAAGACTATTTTATTATATTCAGAATATATATTGTTATTTCAACATACATATTCACTTTCTGAGAAACTGAATCACTTGAATGAAATGATATGATCATTTCAATCAACAGAATCTGTTCTTCAGATACTGTATTATAGGAACAAAATAGTCTTCGTTTATTCAACCAGTTCCTACTGTTAATTTAAATAACCATTAATGAGTTACATCAAATGAATTTTGAATTGAAAACTGACGAAAAAAATTGTTGCGGTGACAAAATATTTGGTCGTGTATATTATATGACACTCAGATATTGTTGAATTTGCAAAGATTTTGTAGCTTCAAACACATGTTTTTTCTGTATAGGTATCTTATCCTTCAGTCAGTTTTATAGTTACGTTTATTTTATTTTATGTTCTATCTTTTTTATTTGTTTTTGTTTTTTTTTACCGTATTTCCATCAATGAGTGTTATATTTTTTGATTTTTCACATCCGATATAATTATATCAGTAAATGTTCAGTTTAGTTTTTGTTCGTATTTGGGAAGACAATATTAGATGGTATTATATCAATTTAAAAATTAATGGGATAAAAAAACAGGAGGAGATATCAGGATACGGGCCACAGAAGCCCCAAGGATCATTGAGCTTATAGGGCCCCAGAAATCGTTTATCTGCTACTGCTCATTTGCACCTTGTGAGAACATTCTGAGAATATTCGAAATGTTCCACAAGAATATTCTGAGAACGTTCTCGGAACCACTTTGTGGTGCCTGGGTCATATGATAGGACATAGGCAGTGCGAAAACTGTTTTGGTTGTCCAATCCGACAGTATTATACAGTATATCAAGAATTTACGTGATATAAAACTGATTTGAAGCTAAACACAATAAGTTCCATGCAAACATACCCCGTCAATTCCATTAGTAATTCTTCTAAATTATTGCTCACACTTAGGCACTCGCGTCACTCTTGAAAATCGTCAGCAATTTTTTTCGGGGACCATCGAAATCTCAACATTCTGGTACCAACGTAACATGTTGAAGATGCCTCAAAGAATGTAAGAGTGGTTATACGTAACTTCTCAAAATAAATGCTTGAAGAACAGTTAAACATCATTACGTTTCCTCGCGGGCATTCTCAAGATTTTTTGCTAATGTGTATTGGAGATCGTATCACGAAAGGATAATTAAATCTGCGAAAATATTATCGCTGATTCGTTGAACAGTTATATGGCCCTAGTTTTCGGAAGTTTTGTTAGTCGTTCGTGTTTTTTTTTACATTCACCAACCCACTTTTCTGAATGGTAATAAAACAATAACAGTATATAGAGTAACGATTCATTATTTAATTTGTATAATGAATGTGAAGACTGCGAATACTTTCTCATTATGTCATTAGTCTAATTCTGATGAGTTACACTGAGTTACATCAAGAAGAGTGCCAACTACAATCAAATGTGATTGCATCAGGACTAGAACCGAAAATAGCACTGATTCGAAATCAGCAAGTCATATCCTGCAATTTTTTCCTCAATAACGGTGGCAAATTCGAAAATACTACAGGTGAACGAAAAGATTCTAACAGAACCATAAATTGCATGTTTTTTTTTGGAATTTACCATCGACGCACCACAAAAAAATTCAGGGTGAAAAAAGGCGGCGTGACCCCTGAAAATGTATCTTCCTGTAGCTTTTCATGACCATATTTGGCATGCCCAATGATGTGAGCCCTCTAAAGCATAACCAAATTTGAGCTAGATATACTAAAACCGTAAGAGCTATAAATAAAAAACTCAATTAATTTGAACGAGGAATGAGGGTCATGTTATACATGATTGCAAAGGTAATTTGATTATGACACTAGCGTTGCAAAGTTCTTCAAATTCCAACAAGGCGTTCTCGAGATATTGTAGTCCCAATGGTATGTTGTTCAATGGTCAATGAATCCACCACGAATGATCAACATGACCTTCATTGACCCCAGACAATGAAGATGTTCATCTTGTTATTGTGTAGCATGCGATCCTTTTTCTTCGTTCCAAATCGTTCAGGTCAGTAGGTTTTGTATTAAAGATGGAGGATTCCACATTACTACAGAGAAATAAATCATCGTGTACCAAGTCTGGCGAGCGTGCTGGCCCCAAAGAGGAAAGTCATTGGGTACCATGTCCGGCGAGCGTGCTGGCCTTTTTATTGGTACCCGACGACCTATCCATTTATTCGGAAACTTTTGGGATTCTCTCACGGACCTCGATGATGATGTTGATCGAAATCTATTTGCGAATAATATTTATTTTCAACAAGATAGTGCGCCACCTCTTCCGTATTACAGATGAGAGAGGCTTCCCCAAAATTGTTGAAACTTCACAAACGATAAGATTTCCACTAAATTCTCAAACACACGACATGTTTCGCAAGACAGTAGCTTCGTCAGGTGAAATACTGGAACAAATAAGTAAACTAACCTTGGCTTGCTTAACTTTCATATATCCTACTTTTCCAACCTGAAGGATTAGTTACCTGTGGACATGTAAAACAAATTCAACATACGCCAACCATATATAATAGAAGAAAACCATAGTTTTGATGATAATCTCGAAATTCTACACGTAGAAAATAGAGGAATGGAAATCAATCATTTTGAATCATTAGAAATCAACAAACTCAAAAATTCTGACATTTTACTTAGATTAGATTAGATTAGATTTGGAATGGGGCCTTCGGGCTATCTGCCTCCACACTGCGACCTTTTCAGATCTATTGTGTCTGCCCTCAAAATCGATTAGAGTTCTTCGGCTAGCCCCGCCTTCTCTATGAGACTCCATAGGTTAGCTTTCAGATCTCCTGTGTATCTCTGGGCTCCTGGTTTTTCCTCACCCAGCGTAAGGAACCTTAATCTTGACAAGCCCTCACAGTGGCAAAGTATGTGTACTGCTGTTTCTTCCTCTTCTTGACAGAACCTGCACAGCAGTTCTTCAGTCAGACCTATCGTACTCATGTGTTTGTTGAGCCTACAATGCCCTGTGAGAAGTCCCACTAGTATTCTAGTTGAACTTCGTTTCTGGCTTAGTAGATATTCTGTGAATGTTGGCGATGGTTTTTTAATAAACTCTTCAGCCTGTCTCATTCCTGGCGAGTTGTTCCACCATTCTTGAGATTTGGTTTGCATCCATGATTTGATACTAGTCTTTTGTATAGCTTTCGCAATACCACAGAAGGGTTCTGGGCCATTAAGAACTTTGTTTGCTCCTGCTCGGGCAAGTGAGTCTGCCTCTTCATTGCCCTCGTACCCTGTATGTGCTGGTACCCATGCTAGAGTCAATCTGTTCTGACTGCCCAGTGCATTTAGGGTTTCTAAGCAGTCCCATACTGGTTTTGAGTTAACATAGAGTTGACTGCTTTGATTGCCGCCTGGCTATCTGAATAGATTGCAATGGTATTGCCTTTGAACTCTTGCCTTATCAATTCTTTCACGCAATGATGTATTGCAATAATTTCTGCCTGAAACACCATCGCGTATTTGCCTGAGCTCAGTGAGATTCTTGTCTTTGGCTTGGCCCCATAAATACCAGCTCCTGATCCTTCATCAGTTTTGGAGCCGTCCGTATAGACAGCAATGTCTGCATTGATAGGAGGTCCTTCCTTCCATGCCTCTCTGTCCGTTATACTTATTTCAACAGTTTTTTCAAAGCTATATTTTGGAATTATGCCATCCGTTGACATTTTACTTAACGATCAATTAGACCTCAATAGTTCACCACTGTTGAATTTGTTTTCTTAGTAGGTAATAATATGTATTTGCCATCAACCTTTTCAAGTAAATCCAGTACACCGTATTTTAATGTAGATATTGTGCCTATTTTCCGATAATGAAGGTTTATCAAACCTTTCTACAGGTAATTCTAATCCTTCAGATTGGGAAAGTAGGATATATAAAAGTTGAGCAAGCCAAGGTTAGTTTAGTTCATTGTACCAGTATATCACCTGACGAAGCTACTGTGTTAGCGAAACATGTCGTGTGTTTGAGAATGTCGTGTGGAAATCTTATCGTTTGTGGAGTTTTTGCCATGGATTTCCATCAAGTAACGGTCGAGTCAATTAAAAAAAAAATCCCCAAAATTTCCCAAACAAAGAGATAGGTCGTAGAGGACCTATAAAATGCCACCATGCTCACCAGATATGGCACCCAATGATAATTTGAAATCCGTTATTTATGAAACGGGACTTACTGATCTGATGGATGATTTGTGAAAAAGAAAAGGATTGACTGCCAGTCAATAACTAGAGAAACATGTTCAAATGTGGATGAGGAATTAGTAAATAGACTTTACCACTGTCGGGGAGTCGATGGAGGTCATTTTGAACATTTATTGTGGATAACCATTCAATAATTCATTCCATATATTCATCTACCCATAACTAGGAAACATTACATTCGAACTGGAATATCTCGAAAACGGTTTGGTGAAATCCAAAAAACTTCGCACTGCTAGTGTCAAAATTGAATGTCCTTTGCAATTATGTAATATATGACCCGTAATTCCTATGCAAATTATCGAGGGGTTTGCCCTGGGGAGTAGAAGGTTGAAGTTTGTATCATCTTCTTTGCGTCAAACGGTATCCCCCTCCAAATAATAATCGACGTGTTTCGTTATTTTTCTGCAACATCACTTTTCTGCGAGTTATCGAGGGTAGTGAATGAAAAAATAAGACATTTATTTTGCTCTTTCTCTTTCTTTTCAATTTCCCTAGTAGCGCCTGATTGTCAAATACGATTTTAGAGGTTAGATTTTCTGTCAAATCAATCATTGCCGTAGATGGAAAATAGAAATGGGGTATGAACATCCACTTCAATTTTCAGCGACACAGCACTTTTTGCAGATCAATAGTTATGTAAATGAAAAGAATTCATGTAACAACATTAATATGATAAAATACATACATATGGATATACTTATTGCTAGTTCCTTATTGCATGTGAGATCTGTACCCGAGTAATGAAGTTCGAAACAGCAAGATTGTTTTGATTTTTCACCTTTTGCTGCATTCACTTTCCACTGATAAATTTTGAATTTGGTCGGTATTGAAAACGCCATTCAATGATATTATATCACGTTGCAATTTACTTGATTTCCTCAGTTTCTTTCTCAAATTCTCAATTTCATTACGTAGTTTTGCAATCATTTCCTCTTACTCTATGATAATAATGTTTTGCATTTCGTTTGATGATAATATTGGATTTTTTTTCAATAGTCTGAGTTGTAAATCAAGGAACAGCAGATTCTCTCAAACGGATCTTATAAATCTTCTGTTTGAAAATGTGCCTAGAATATAGTTTCATTTCAATCTTCTATTATAAGAAGTGAATTCCAATGTATGTACAGTCGTCTTCAGAGAGATCAGGTCGCACATGGACGGTGTCAGCTCGCTTGATCACTGCTGTAATAAGAGCGCTCATACCGTCCAACCGCGACATGTTAAGTGAAGACGACAGTACTTACCTCAAAAATGTTGCTTGTCTTCAAAATAATTCTCCATTCAGGCCGTTTCATACATTCCTTCCGTAAGGGAATGGTTATTGCATTTGGGAAATTAAAGAAATGTAATCGTCATTCCTATCAGAATTCCCGCAATTCAGCACACAGCTGGACATTTTCATTTATGCTTTTCATAATTCAAACAATTGAAACAATTTTGAATGAAAAAGTGCGGAACGACTATATGATTCTGTTGTCACAATGCAAGATGAGTAACTCAATAAATCTAAACATTCGAAAACACAAGCAGCTCTCATTTCTGTTTCCGAACTCTTATTTAACTAATACCATCCCAATGACTCTGGAATGGATCACTTGATAGAAAGCCGATATTCCAGTAAATTACTTATGGAATTAAAAAGAAACAACGCAAGAATAATGTAAAAATATATTTATTCATGTCCCGCTTGTAGCCCTCCTGAGAACAAAAACTCCCTCCAAAGAAGTCGGCATGGTTTTTGGCATTTTCCTAGTACTCTTCATGACCTCGAACGTGGTGAATTCCCCAAAATCGGTGATCTTCGTTATCGAATATCGAACTGTCCCTTGAAGGGCGTACCCATCTCCTTTCTGCATTTGTCCATAGCTATTCGAAATAGCAGCCGACAGACAGGAAGAGGTGCTTGTGGAGCAGTCGCAACATAGTCGGACTTTCTTCTGGGAAGGAGTCCTCGCCATTTGCACATCACTCCTGAAACCACATCGGGTGTTAACAATTATAGGTTAGGTAAGGTTTCATATGAGTGGGAAGAATACCGCCCCAAAAATTCAATGTTTATCTTGCTGGAACCCAGTAGGTACTTTAAGAACAGCCTGGCTGCAAAACTTGTTGTAATACTGATATTTCTGTTCACTAGAGGTCTGTTAGTCAACACTCTTATACACAATTCAATAACAAAAATGTTCGCCTGAAAGATTGTAGGATTGTAGCATATACTTTCCGAAATTTACTGAGATTACAGTCTTCGATTTCTTGCTGAACACATCGGCTACCGGCTTAAATTCAATCCGGAGTTCTTGGACTGTATCTCCCTCGTCTCCTTCGTCTTTTTTCGAGAAGAGGACTTTGGAATACTTTTCTACATGTGACTTACTAGCAGATCAATATGTCAGGAATAATTCCTAGACTTTGGTGATTGTTTTTGAAGTTGTAATTCATTTCTTCAGTTGCCTATAGAACCTGAGAGGTCCTAGAAGAGCTTGTATTCAAGTTGGGAGTTATATACAGTGTGTCCCACTTACCATGCTCACCATGGGTATCTTTTTAACGGTGAGAGATACGAGGTCGGTTAAATGACACCAAATGTGGAGTTTGTCAAGGCCAACTATAATGTGAAAAAATATTTTGATAAAATCTATTCGTTTTTGTTTTATACGCAAAAAACAGATTTTGTTCATTTTCATGTCTCCTCCGTAACTTCTTCATTTATGAAAATATTGGAATAGGAATTTCACATTCTCATGGCAGTTTTTCAAAGTGATTTCGAAAAAAATATGAAATTTGTACCAACTCTTCTAGAATTCGAGATATCAGCACCAACTTTAGTTTTTCAAATGTAGGTCATAGCACTATGACTTAGTTACAAATAACTTTTTTTTCTCTCACAGATGATATGTCGCAGTAATAGTTTTGTGTTGATTACAACGGAGTTATCGTCATTTATACAAAAACAAAAAATTATTTGGAAGCCGCCATCTTGAATTTAAGAATTTTAACAAAGGAATCATGATCTCCGACCTCAAAAACCCCCATTTACCAATTTTGCATGGAATCGGAACAAATCTTGTCCGCCATCTTGGAGCAGCCATTTTTTTTAATTTCAACAAAAATTCCATAACTCCGATTAACTTGAAATTTGGCAGGTGTTCATAATTTCGGTGACAATACATTATGGAATTTTTGTTGAAATTAAAAAAAAAGGGTGCTCCAAGATGGCGGCCAAGATTTGGTTCGATTCCATTCAAAATTGGTGAGTGGGGGATTTTGAGGTCGGAGATCATGATTTTTTTGTTAATAAATTCGAGATGGCGGCTTCCAAATATTTTTTTTCTTTTTGTATAAATGACGATAACTCCATTGTTATCAACACAAAACTATTACTACAACATATCATCTGTAAGAGAAAAAAAAGTTATTTGTAACTGAGTCATAGTGAGCTATGACCTAGATTTGAAAAACTAAAGTTGGTGCTGATATCTCACATTTTAGAAGAGTTGGTATAAATTCCATATTTTTTTTTAAATCACTTTGAAAAACTGCCATGAGAATGTGAAATTCCTATTTGAATATTTTCAAAAATAAAGAAGTTACGGAGGAGACATGAAAATGATCAAAATCTGTTTTTTGCGTATGAAACAAAAACGAATAGATTTTATCAAAATATTTTTTCACATTATAGTTGGCCTTGACAAACTCCACATTTGGTGTCATTTAACCGACCTCGTATCACTCACCGTTAAAGAGATACCCATGGTGAGCATGGTAAGTGGGACACACTGTATTTACCTACTTTGTATACACGTGGAATTCGAACTAATGTGGCTAGAGCTATGGGTGTACTGAAGAACCAACTCTATAAGCTCTGGCTTCGAAACCATTTCGCGACGGATGATATGATTGAACAAAGACTGCTCGTGCTAGTAAAATCAGCTTTTATACTAGCCTATACTCAATCCTAGAATTCGATGTTGTTTTTTGAAGCAGAAATTCATCTCTTCAGTTGTTTATACAACCTTAAGATGTCCTAGAAGGGCTTGTACGACTTGGAAACATAACCAATGTGGCTGAAGCTAGTTTTCTAATAATTTGAGGGATCTAACACTGCCTGTGCTAGCAAATCGGCCTTAATACTAGCCAATAAATATTCCTAGAGTTTATTGTAGAAGCTGTAATTCATCTATCCAGTTACCTATATAACCCTGAGGAAGGGCTTGTACGAGTTGGAAATTAGGGATCTACTTTGTATACACGTGGAATTCAAACAAAAATGTGACTAGAGCTTGTTTCTTTGAAGGACCAAATGATATACAATGAGAAAGCAGATCATAGTGGAAGCTCCATATGCACTCTGGTTTCGAAACATTTCGAGATTCTATACGCAATATTTCACCTACCTCTTAGTATCATGGTAGCATATCTCACAAGCTTTCGTTTTGAAACAAGACTTCCGCTCCGGACATACGTATTCCTTTTTCTTCCCACAAGGGCAACACGAACAACAGCTATTCTGCTTCGGAAACTCCTGAGTTTCCTTATCAGTTTTCTCTGGCGAACTGACAGAATAAGTACAGCTGCACGAAACGCTATCGGGGGAGTCACTCTTCGACTTCGACGAGCTAGAAGAATCTTTTAGGATCGAGGTGGAGCCTTTAGGTCTCATGGTGTCTCTCTGGGATCTACCGAGCTGTAGTGTCATCTCTTCTGAAGCCCCAGAGCCGCTTCTGGGACTGTCTCTGGGACTTCGTCCTCTTCTGTTGTCTTCATGACTCTCTCTGTGCTGACTTCTACTACCAGCGCTCCTCACACTTTCCATGCTTTTGCCTCCTCTGACTGTCTCCCTACTTCTCTGGCTTCTTCTGTCATCTGATTCGTTTGGCGATATGTGAGCCCTTCCAGAACCAGGTGAGCTGCCACCACGCGATACCCTACTGTCATCTTTTTCGTAACGATCTCTGCTTCTGTCACTCTAGAAATATAAAGTGGGAAATAGTTATTTTCCCAACAAGTGTGCTAAGTGTTATTTTGCCGCACGCAAATACAGTTAGGCGAACGACGCTACCCGGAGTTTTTGCGTGCGGAAAAGGCACTTAGCGCACCTGTTAGGAACAAAATATTCTCTACGAGCTTTATATTATCAGATAACAAAGTATAACTTACCGAATAATTTTTATTCGAACCTGACAGGAAGAACTATACGACAAAGAATAATAACATAAACATAACAATAAAAAATAATAGAAAATTAAAATATTTGAACGTATTATTCAGGATGAAAGAACAATTTATTGACATTTTGCAAGATTCTGCACTGATCATGGTACGGCTTGAAGAACACTAACTTAGATCAGAAGGGGAGTTGATAATATGGCTTGATTGATTCACCTCAGGACAGTTGTTCAAATGGGTCGCTAAAGTACGACTTAAATTAGAAGGGCAGCAGTTCATGTGGCTTGATGGAGGTTGATTCGATGCAGAAGGGCAAAAGATTTTTTCGGCGTTGTGAATAGATAGGTATAGGTTACTTACTTTGCGGGATTCGTTTGATCTACTGCTGTCGCTGTGTTTCTCTTCTCTTGACCTGGATGGAGAAGGTTCTGATCTAACTGATTTCACTGAAATTCTTCCAGAACTGGGCTGGCTCTGTTTTGATCCACACTTGTAAAACTGGCCTTCCGATACAGTACCACATACTCCTTCAAGTGATGTCGAGAGAGCCCTCCCTATAACGAAGAAAATAGTGATTAGTTAGCTGAAGTCCATGGTTGAATGAGGTGAAATTTTCCTGAAATTGGTAGGTTCTAACTTGATAAAATCAAATAATATGAAAGTGGTCTCGCTAAACGAGCATGAACATAATATGTGTTTAGCAGTTTCGTCTTCCACACAGCATAAACGACAATGTGTTTGTTCGTTCAGATCCACTCTCCTAGGTGGTATATCTTAGACGCCAGTATCCCGTGAGTAGTCCTGTTCAAAAATCGCAGGTTTTTTCTGCTTCATTCAAGTATCTGCTTGATTATATTTTCCGATGGTTTAGGCAGTAACCCAGCAAACATTGAACTACCGGAAGAAGTCCGGCCTGGTGCAGGCAAGTCTGGGAAAGAGACGATGCCAGGCTATTGGTGATGGGCCGATGATTGCCCTAAGCTAAGTAACCATCAGTTTAAAATACGATGATGGCCTTGTAATGGTAAGATGTCTGGAACTAGTTGAACACCAACGAGTTGTGGATCTTTGCTGGCCAATATCCTGTTCACTACTAGTTCCCCTGGTGGATGTTCTGGGAACGTCTACATCAACAATCAGGTGATCATTTGAATCATTATTATATGTGACTCTAGTGATAGCGTATGCTTCGTTTTTCTCTGGTTTGTTGTCGAATTATTGTACTCCTCACTTTCCCTGTTCGTTATTTATGATGGCAGGAGTATTCTCAATTGATGATATAGAAGATGGATTCTTCAATTATGATAATATTGAGTAAGTATCAATCTACCTATCTAGTGTTTCGAATTTCATTATGAAATGCATGTGTCTGGTATCTCATAACATCATATACCTAGTGATCATAATAATTGGAGTGGCTCTAGCTCTCCAGAAGCTATCATGTGTAACTTGTTTGTTGCTATCAAAAGTAATCTTAGGTTATATAAACCTGTTTATATTATAGAAGTGAATAACAATAAGGTTCCAATTACAGAAATCCCTGTGCCCAAAATAATGATGAGAATTAAAAAGCTCCATAAGTAAAATCACGTTATCAGACTATATTAATCAAGTTATTGAGTCATGTGCAACAGCATTTCGTTTCTCATACTCCTATGGAAGAAGAATTCGGAAAGAATTCTGATATAATGGAAGGCCACTGATAACTGATCAAGAATTTTATATTTCAGGAGAATCTACCTCGCAACGAATAATGCATTTTGGAGGAATGCTACCAAATAAGATGTAGATTTAGAGATGTTAGGATTGTGTCATTCATAAATCATTTCCTTGAAATCTGGTATGTGTCTGTTCTATTAAGAAATATGGAGTTACTAGAACTTTCAGGTTCATCGGACCCCCAAAACCTCTTCCCCTTTCCCCGTACCCCGATAGTATATATGTAACCAAAATGTCGATAATTGGCCATTGCAGTCCCATCATCTTTGTATGTTCTGGGCTTGCTATGGAAAACTCAATGTGTCGATTATTTTGTACTGGCCTTTTGCCGGGGAACTGAATATGATTGCTGGGTACCCAGCACTGGGACCAGCAGCGGGCCGCAGTGTATTGATATACAGAGTCCCGCATATGGGACCATTTACTGGTTCGCTGATGTCAGGTATGGGAAAATACATTAGACCATTAATGCCCCATAACATAATGTTTGCTGGGAATGCCTTCGAATGAGCGAATCCTGGTAATTCCGACCAGTACGTGAGTCTTTTTCCCTATACGCCCATTCCGGAATAGTTGTTGACACCAAAGTATTATTCTGGTCCTATGAACACAGATTCGGTTTTCTCTCTGGGGAGGTTGTCGGCTTTCTTCTTGCCCTTCACTCGCTGGTATCTGGGCACCCACACAAAAATAACTTTGTTGATAACTCATCCCAGGCCCTCTAGGAATTCAATACAATCCCATACAAGCTTGGAATTCATTTTGCTGGAGCTCAGTGCTTTAAAAGCAGCCTGACTGTGAAGTTTTGTTTACTGGAGGTATAAGTATATAAGTATGAGTATAAGTATAAGTCAACTCTCTTACACACAAAAATCGTAAATTTTTTCAATGAATTGGTGAGACCCTGTGGGCAAATGAGGAAGTGATGATATTTGGACAATCAGACTTACAGTGGCGCCGTTAGGGGAATATCATTGTTTGTTTTTTATTCAGAAGTGAGCCACGAAGAAAAATTGATGTGAATACTATTGAAGGTATCCGTTCAGATTACTGGACAACTATATTCTGGAATCACAGCGGGAATAAAAAAAGAATTTATGCATATTTACAACTTTGACGGTCTGTACCTATCGTGAAAAAGAAGAGATTACAGATATACCGGGTGGCTACGGAAGTATTGCCTACGGAATATCTCAGTTATTGTATGAAGTAGGTTTGTGAAATTTGGAGCGTCGATATAATGACATAAGAGCTAAAATTTGAGCATATTGACATGTCGAAGTTAACTTCCGGTCTGACCGGAAATAACATCAACTTTCTTTTTTCAAATGGAAACCCTATTTTTTTTCTTTTCGCTTTATTCAGCATTCAATTCCGTTTCTAATGACATATCACAAGTTGGTATCTAACCAGAAACTAGATTTGGGATTTCATTTCATAAAATTACTTTCTATTATACCTATCATTAGAAAGGAATGGTTATGCTGAATAGTACAGGCAAGAAAAAGTTGTATGTTCCTATTTAAGTTATGGACCTACAGAGTATTGTTTTTTTCCCAATTTTTTCAATATTTTTTTCGGCGGCTTTTTATAACGCCGACGAATGAAAATAAAATGGTATGTATGTATGTTTATATTGTCACGAATGTGACTTATTGCCTTTGCTAGTTGGGATTTGCAGAGGGTTGATATTCAGTAAAAGGAATTAATAAGTTTGAACAACGAGAACAAATATGGATTTATTAATGATAAATCACAATTTTGAGACTTCTTGAAGAGGCATTAGGTGGAAGATTCAATGAATAATAAAAATGGTACTTACAATAATCTAACATAAAAACTTGGGGATGTCCCCGTTGCGACAAGCAACCGTCCGCTATTCGGACCAAAAGTCAAATCCCCCTTGCCCTTGGTACGTGGATTCCGATCGATCACCTCAAATGTTTATTTTATTGAAAAATGTTTTGTCACGAATGAGGACAGTTGAATTGCTGAGAAATATAACAAACTCGATAAATTAGAACAGTGAAATAATAATAATAGTATAGTGGTAATATTTGAGAATAATTTGGAAAATATCCTTTCGTGACAATATAAGTAATTTTAGTTCTAAAATGTAAGCCAAGAAATCGCCTTCTTCAAATGAACATGACATCAAGGAAAACTGTGAAGTCAAAATTTATGGTAGATGTACTCAGATCCACCTCTTCAACCTTATATCATTTATACGTTTTATATCAATTAATAAAATACCATTTATAATTATTCACAGCCTACTGCTTCAATGTTCTGTGAATTTTTCTTCTCACCTTCACTAGACGAATATCCTTCATGACTTCGGCTATGATGACTACCACGAATGCCATGACTATGATGACTTCCTTGTATGCTGCGACTACCGTGACTACCGCTACTGCCACGGATGCTCTGACTTTGATGACTATCTTGTATGCTGTGACCTCCGTGACTACCGCTACTGCCACGATAGCTTTGAGTATGATGACTATCTTGTATGCTGTGACTACCATGACTACCGCTACTGCCACGTATGCTTTGACTTTGATGACTATCTGGTATGCTGTGACTACCGTGACTACCGCTACTGCCACGTATGCTTTGACTATGATGACCATCTTGTATGTTGCGACTGCCATGACTACCGCTACTGCCACGTATGCTTTGACTATGATGACTATCTTGTATGCTGTGACTACCATGACTACCGCTACTGCCACGTATACTTTGACTGTGGTGACTATCACGAGTGACACGACTTTCGTTGGAACTACCGTACGCGTCATGACTACCACGACTGTTTTTTATCATTTCTCCAGATTGTCCACTTCTGCTACTGTGGAAGTCTTCACCATTTTTGATTCTCGATTCGTTACTGTCGCTATGATAATGTTCTTCGTAAACTTCATTACAATCATCAGCTTCTTCAGATTCCTCAGGATCATGGGGACTCGGTTCATCGTTTTCCCTGGAATACCTTCTGAATGCATCTTCGATTGATTTCCTACACGAGCCACCTGGAGAATATGATGAGTATTTATTTATACATACGGATATAACAAGAAAAAAAAATCGTTCCAAATTATGTTATCAGCAGTTTTGTCTCTCAGAGTACAAATTTCTGTCACCTAACTCATCAGTTCGTCTTGAAAAGTATGGAGGATCAGCATTTTTCAGTCGTGAGGTGTTACTTTAGTTCGGTATTTGATATTTTGATTTCTCACCGAAAGATATTCGGAACTAAAAAATATGGAATTTCCCGATGAAAGGTAAGTACCTTCATTATACAGTTCTCAACACACCAAATGGACCACTCATAATTTGACTCTTTTTCGAAGACCTGTATTTTTTGAAGAAATTGACCGATCTTCATGCAGTTTTCGATATTGGATGTGATATTTCATCGGCTTCAAAGAGAGCTTGAACACTCTGGAGTCACTCATCCTGTGTTTCAATTAGAGTTGAGTTTTCGAAAACGTCTCGAGTTAATATAGTCTAATATAAACAATAGATATCGAGAAGGCCGTTTCTGAATATACTGAATCGAATGGGCCATGGTTTTAGTCACCGTTTTGGATTTTTTTTACCGAAATACGATTTTGTCCTATTTCCTCATCACCCTGTATATTCCACGATGGTACTTTTTTCGTCTTTCATTGTCTTCCACACAACATGAGAACAGTTCTTCCCAATATTCAGCTCAAGTGGAGTTCTAGATAAAAAAGTCAAGAAAATCAAGACTTTCGTAAAAAAATCTAATTCTTGTTCCAATTGCCAATGCAGGAGAAATCACGAAAAGGTTCCGAGTTGAGGTCCCAATGTATCATAATATGACTGACTTTTGATCAGAAAAAAATTTCTCGAGTTCTGGCCAGCATTGGAAATGTAGACCATAGTGTAATGGTTCCACTTTACACCCTGTGTATGTTTTGTTCTGCGGACTTTTCCAGAGTGTTCAAGCTCTCTATGAAGCCGATGAAATATCACATCCAATATCGAAAACTGCATTAAGATCGGTCAATTTCTTCAAAAAATACAGGTCTTCGAAAAAGAGTCAAATTATGAGTGGTCCATTTGGTGTGTTGAGAACTGTATTTTGTGAAATGAAGTTGATATAACTATACAAATAGAATAAGTATATATATGAAGAGATATTTTCTTAATATACTGTACTTGATTTTTCCAATCATAGAAATGTTTTTTTGTTTTGAATATGAGTGTTACGAATGTGTAACGCTAGGAAGTAATGTAAGCATTTTTTCGCGTTATTGATGATTCGGTATACATATTATTCACTTTTATTGAAATGCATTTGAAACACCTTTATTTCAATGTTCGGTTAAACTGGATGTTGAAAGAACGATATTCGTTTTTTTTTAGCGGTCTTGCTGCCATACTCGAGAAGGGGCTCGCTGTTCAAGAAGCAATTGACATAGCTTCTGGCGAAGATGACGAAATACATGACTGCATAGATGAATTTTATATAGCACCACCAGATTCAGCTAATCCTACAGATGAGGATTCCAGAGACGAGGACGAGCAGAAATGCTGATAATTGATTGATTGACTTTATTACCCCAAGAAACATAGTTGTTTATAATAGGGATACATAAACAATATTCATAATGTTATACATACAATTATGAAATTATAATAAGATATATAACAAGTAAAAAAAAATGCAAATAATCATGCAATATCAACCTTGTCTTTCATAAGTAGGTATTCAAATAAGAAATGGAATTATCAAAGTCTCTGAAGCAGATATTTTTTCAAGTTAATTTTGAATCTAGTTGCTTCCTGTATATTCCTCAATTGACTTGGTAATGAGTTGTATAGAAGGATTCCTGTGTGAAAAATGGATTGTTTGCCGATATTTGACTTGAACGTATTTGCTATTAGTAAATTTGATTGTCTTGTTCCATGATTATGTAATGAATTGATTTCATTGAAATTCAAATTCGAAATTTTCAATTCATATAGGACAAATTGAATAAAACAACATATTTTAAGTTTATATTAGAGCTAGCGTCATTAAAACTGGTTGATGCAGAAGTACGAACTGCCAAGGGCGGGGTACTACAATAATGAAAGAGGTATTCGTACCGAATATATTACAAAAATTGATGTAATAAGTATTTGGGAATTCACCTAGATTGCAAGCTCAAATGGCATAAACACATTAATGAATGCATAAAATGCAAAAAAGTCCCATTAGGGACTATTTGCAAACGTGCAGACGTACCCCAACAGTACCAGTACCAGTAGTCAGTGAAAGGAAAAAACTCTGATAGAGAGCTGATGGGCGGTGCCTGAAAAGGATGTTAGCCAGCTCTCTTAAGCGAACCACATCAGCCATTGAAAAAACACATTGGGGCTTGCAAAAAGGTCCCATTAGGGACGACTTGCTGACGTGCAAACGTCCCCCACCAGTACCGGTACCAGTAGTCAGTGAAAGGGAAAAAATACTACATGATCATGAACAAGTTTTCAACTTTTTTGATCATGTTTAAATTATAAAAAAAAATGTATATTATTATTAATATAGTACGCTGATATGTATGTAATTTGAAGAATGAATAAGTGAATAAAAATGTAGAAGCTCTCACCAGTCGTTGACTTGGACTTGGATCTAGAACAAGACTCCCTGGTGGTCATACTACCTCTGGTCCCATAACTCCTTCTTGCTTCGGTCTCGGTCTGTGAATCCACGTGACATATCGGTTGCCCCCCATCGGTGGAGGTCTCAGAGTCCCTCTTTCTGAATGACGGACAACGCGATCCCATGTTATCGGTTTGCGAGGATTCGTGCCTCAACATTTCCTCATCTACGAATGTCTCGTTGCAACTTGCTCTGTTTTCGGGTCCTGCACTTTGGTCGCTAGTCCTGGACGTTATGCCTGAATCAAGATGGAAGGAAAATTATGTAGAAGTGTTAAGGCTGCGACACAATCGATTTTTTATGCAATAAGTTTTGAGTTCCAAGATTTGACATGTATAATCTGTGGTGGAAGTCCATTTTATCTCTAAGAGGAAAGGTTAGTTACAACCCTAATAGCACACAACGTCCTAGGGACGTCCCTATTTGGTACAATTCAAGTCCGAATGTCCCGGACCAAAAATAAGTGTCCTTGGGACGTCCCATCCTGTACATCTCATGCAATGTCCGAGCAAGGACGTCCACGGAATGTCCCAGCTGGTACATCATTTCAAATGACCTAGAAATAGCATCCCTTAGACGTCCCACGTGGTACATATCGTAGAATATGATTTTAAACGTTCCTTTAGTACATATTCTGGCATGAATTCAGATCTTACATAATGTCCCTTCTAGACAACCATGAAATGTCCCTGATAGTACATTCCTTCAAATATCTCTGCACAGACGCCCTCAATATTTCCAGGATCGTATAACAATCGAAATGTCCCTTAGGAACATACTTCGAATGTCCCTTAGGGATATCCGTCGGATGTCCCAACTGGTACATGATTTGTACTTATTCAATGTCCTAGAAATAACGTCCTACGGACGTCCCAGTCGGTACTTTCAATATATATTGTCTCGCCGACGAATGATTGCTCGTAGGCTATAAATACTCCCCGTCAATGTCCTTCACGTAAGTCCATTGGACATCCTTGGAAAACTTTTCCAGAATCTATTGAGGACCTTCTACGGACCATCAACTCAACTGGATGTCCTCATCAGTTATGCAAGATCTGGTCCTAGAGGGACCCAGCAAAACTCAAATTCAAAAATAATTCGTACGTCCCTGGTACATCCTATGGACATCCCATTGATATCCCTCAGCGTTGCTGATAGGTTGTCCTCAGGATGTCCTAAGGATGTCCTCCGTAGTGCTTGATGAGGAATACTGTAGGATTTAGGTATTCGATAGTTGGACATTTATGCGTCCCACAGACGTCCAATGGACGGCCACGGTACCAAATTCGAACGTTCTATGGACGTCCTGAATGTCCCGACAGGACGTCCTAAGGATATTCATGGGACATAATTGTGTTATTAGGGAAGGGATCAAAACACAAAGTTGTCTCCACAATTTTCAATAGTGATCATATTACATAAACCAGATCAACGTACATGTTTCGTGCCTAAATAGGCTCATCTTCAGCGAAAATTGAAAATTCTACCACAATATATAAGAACAACTACGAAAAAGTGGAATGAAATGTAAAATTAATACAAAAAGCTCAGTCATTTCCACACTATGTTCATTAAATGAACAATGATGGTAGATTTCGGGAGAAAAACAACTACTTTCCTGGCTAATGCCACGCAGAACATTGAATTACATCCTCCCGATATCTTGTATAAACGAATACTGATAGTGAAGTCTTCAATTGTGTCGCAGCCTTTATCGAGTGGAAATTATATGCCTTTAAAATTCTGGAATACGAATTGGCAATCATTTATTGGAATATTTTGCTCCGCTCAAAAGTCCAACAGTCTTATTCACTTCACTATTTTTTCTATAATCTTCGAGAGAACTGACAGTAAGAAAACGAATATTATATAATGGAACATTTCTAAATACAAGATTTTATAAAAATGGGCTGAAAAAAAGGAAATTATTTCTTTCATATTCGATCTAGGTTATTCTTTGAGAACCAGATTCAAAAGCTTGTCGAGCAAGATTTCCTTCTCCGAATTTCTTTTCATGAAATATTTATTTGTTTATTTTCAGTACATTTGTATAAGAACTTGTCTTTGCTGTCACCCTGTAAGTATATGAGTTGAGTAAATTGTTCTCAACAATCTTATATCATGTTCTTTATGTGAAGAATACGATACTAAAATAATATGTATTATTATAGTTCCACCTTTTCCCATACTGTCTTCGATCTCTGTCCCACTGTAATGAACATTTTTCATACCATCAAATGTTTAAGATATTTCTCCACACCACTCTCTACTACCCTCTTACTTCTACTACTTTCATGAATCCCCCTTATACCTATGCTCACTTTCATTAAGTCCACCATCTCCAAAGATCTCTTCTTCAGAATAATGTTCTTCATGTACGTCATCTCGATCCATTCTTTCCATCTTGCTACTACCGTGTGTTGGATAATCATTTTCCATTCCATCAGGGTGCGATTGTCTACCGAAACTCCCTCCAGAATGATTACTCGTTGCTCCTCTTCCGGACTGATCCTGCGCAAAAATGTACGAGAGCGCTTTCGTAAAAATGTATTCTCTTATCTGTTCATACTAGGTGGCACTCAGCAATATAAGAATAACCTCCAAAATGCCACTTCACCAAAAATGGTCATTTTCGAAAAACACCTTATAACTCCGAAACGAAGACAAATATCGATATGCGGATTCAGTGGTGTGTCGTGAGTTCCGTACCTGGGGAAGCTGGGAGCAAAATATAACCAAAACTGCACTGCAGGCAATTTTTTTAATTTTTCAAGGTCAAGTCACTCAGTCACTGGAAGTTCAAAATGATAATTCAAATATATTTGTCTCGAGAGTATGAATCTAGTAGACACACAATTCATTCCACTTTCTTGCACATTGAAGACTGCAAAGAGTAGTAACTTTTCGCACGACCGTAGAAAAATTCGGTAGGTATACCTCCGCTTATTGACTGAAGCTATCTGCCCACCGCTTCTACCTCCGTTAGTATCTTGCATTTCAACCTAACACGGGTGAAAAATTTAAGAAATACCCCATTTATCATCTGCTAGTTATTATCGATGAGTACTATTATGTATTCAAGATATTGGTTACATAAAACCAACAGAACAACAAAATTGATACAACCAGAAATCCAGAACACGCGTATGTCAAGGCAAATTTAGCGGCCATGAGCATCTCTTTTATTCTAAAATGACAACTGAGTTGGAACATTCAGCACTGAATTAGGAGGATACAAATAATTACATATCCACTACAATATAAAAATGATCTGAATGATGATCCTGATTTTTGGAAAAGGGAAGCTGGTGCTTCCCTAACTTCACCATTGAGTTTTTCATGAGAATTGACCCTCAGGCACCGACATCAGTTCACTTCCATCTGGTTCGAGCATGGGACATTCCTTTTAAAAGTGTCCAATTTGGCCCACCCCGTACACAGATGGTTCGAAAACCCTTCTTGGAGTTGGAGACGGTGTGTTCAGCAGAAAACCGAAGACGGAAATCTCTGTCAGTCTCGGTAAGTATGCTACAATCTTTTAGGCGGAGGACTTCGCAATTGAATTGTGTGCTAGAGAGTTGACGAATAGAACTGTAGTGAACAAAAACATCAATATTGTAGCTAGGCTGCTCTTAAATCACTGAGCTCTAGTGAGGAGAAATTCCAATCTTGTATGGAGCTGTATTGAATCCCTAGAATGCCTTGGTTCAAACAACAGAGTTACTTTGCTGTTGGTGCCTGGACAATAGGAGGTAGAGGGCAACGAGAAAGCCGACATCCTCGTCAAACAGGGAACCGAATTTGTGTTCATAGGACCAGAACCATACTTTGGGATCACCGCAAGGAGGGCCAAAACAACTATCTCGGACTGGGCGAAGGGGAAAAGACTCACGTATTGGTCTGAAAACCATCGGAAAATATAACCAGGCAGATCCTAGAATGTAGCTGGGGTAACCTGCGAAGGACTGCTTACGGGACACTGTCGTCAACGATACCCCCTGGAAAGGATGGGTCTGAACCAACAAACGGACTGTTTATTTATTATGTTCATTCTCTTGCTTAAAGAGACTGAGGTTCGACATATTTGGCTTTACCAACTTCCTATCGATTGCAGACAAATCTCTCCCAATTCAACCATGGACTTTGTAAAATGATGTGGATTGTACAGTAAACTGTTACCTCTAGGGGTGAGCCACAATAGACCCATCTGGGGTCGTAGTGGAGGGGCGGTATCCGCCCCACTCACATGGAACCTAACCTAACCTAACCTCAGTGCCGGATTAGCCACGTAGCAAGAGTAGCAAATGCTACGAGCCCCGCGCTCCAACGCCTGTCCAGCCTTGTCCGGCCTCTCTTACTGTAAAAATAATTGCATCAGATGAATGAAGACTATGAAGAATACTATCAGCAATAAATATAGGGAAGACTTAAGCGATATACAAAGTACGAGCATTTCAGGGGCTCTACTACACTCGACGACTTTGTTGAAAATATTTATTCTCATTATTGATAACGTACTGTCTGCTTCAACTAAACGTTTGAGAGCATTTCATAAAATTACTAGTGTTTTTGGAGTATTTCGACAGCGAAAGAGATTTTGGAAAAATCCTCAATAATGGTCAGTGCTCACACAGATGATTTGGAAACCAGCCTAGTGTAGATCGTTGAGCTGCTCAAAACGAATGTGAGTACTGTCATTCAGAGCACCAAAAAGAAGCCCCTGGAACTACAATTTTATAAACTCTCATTGAATAATTATTTAGAATCATGTTTCCCAAACATAGAAATTGCCTTGCGAATTTACGTGCATCTCATGATCGCAGTGTAGTGTAGTGGCGAACGTTTTTTTTGTATTGAAACGTATTATAAATGAGTTAGGAACACGATGGGCCAAGAACGTCTCAATCATCTCACTTTGATAAATATAGAGTATGATTTGCTTGAAGAAGTCGATTATGAGAGTGTTATCTCTGAATTTGCCCATATAAGTATATCCAGAGAAGTTTATTTATAATACTTGCGTTTCATTTCATTCAATACTATAAATCTGATAACCTAAAGCAAACCAAGGGCCCCTTGATAGAATTCGCTACAGGCCCCGCGCTGGCTTAATCCGGCACTGCCTAACCTACCGTTCGGCGTATGTCGCAAGCTACTGTGATTACTGTAATTGTGGTGGTAATTGTATATTATATTTTCAACATACAATCATCTTGAATTTTTCTCGAGATTTTGATAATATCAATTGGGGGGTTTTTGGGGATGCTGATTCTGAATCTGATAAAGAAATGTATTTATAATGAGCCCTAATATCTTTTTCCAAAGAACGCAAATACACATACTTGATTCAACTATCTTGTCAATGAGATGTAAATCTCTAGACAAAAGTGAAACCTACATTGAATGAAGACATGATCATGAAGGGAGAAGAATTCATCAAGATTATAACAACCATTGCTTATCAAAAAACGTTTTACACTTTTTTTAAGTCCTTGTAAGTAGGTATATCTCTTATGTACACTAGTATTGCATTGTGAAGAGTGAAACAGTTATTTGTTCTAGTGCCATATCCATGGTGGCTTCCCAGGATTGTGAAATGTGAGTGATGTTGTTTCGTGAAACTAACACATTTTGAGATATAGATGGATGTAAAAGTGATGATATGTTTTACACGAACCCTCTAATTTTTTTGACGTTCGTAGAAAAACATATTTTCACCCAATCGTCCCAATCGACGTTGAATAAACATTGCATCAACTAACATGCTGCCATTAGGTTACTACTCACTGCAATTAACATTTGTTCTGTTGCTCCTGGATCAGCAGTAGGGGCTGATTGAGCAAATCCTATTCTTTTGAACATCTGAAGTCCCACCAGGATGGTTTCGTCTGCAGTTGCTCCCAAAACTTTACCATATATGTTGGTCCCTGGACCACATGGACCATGTTGGACTATAAAATAAGTCAGAATTGATATATAGGGTGATTCAAAATTGGATGCATATATTTTAAGGGCATATTGTTGGGATCAAAATAAGACTTTTTCTCCATATAAAAATGTGTCCAAAAAATTCACCCCCTCCAAGTTACTGCCACTGTAAGTTAGGTAAAGAAATTGTGACTTAAATAACGGATCAAATCTTCTGAAAATTGGCAAGCCAATATCCTTTCAGACACTTCATTTCAGGACACTTGTTTTTATGAAGAAAAAGTTTTATTTTGATCCCAACAATATATCCTTAAAATATTTACATCGAATTTTGAATCACCCTATATTATCTGATTTTATAAAACTACCTGATAAGAATGAGGCAATGTTTTTGGTAATATAATATATTATATTTAGGGTTCAAAAACCAAAGTTTGAAGGTTACGACCAATTATTTTGTGAAAAAATATTCTTGGTATTTCCCAACTAAAAATTAGTTATTATGTAATTTTTTATTGATTCAATTCAACAGCGATAATAGATTGAATGAACAAACAAACAATAATTTCCTTCCGTAATATAATACCATTTCAAATGAATACATCTTATTAGAAATTATAAAGTTATAAAATTAACAAACATGAAATGTATGCAATGACATATTTTTTCGATTCAGTGACAAAACACACAAACGAGCATCAAGAATAAAATATTCTCATTTCCAGGCCTGAATTTTGTCATTTCATTTTTTGTGGAGGATAATAATCACCTTGTAAATCTTTTTCAAATCAGTGGATGGGGGTATCTTTCAAGATAATGATGGTCATCGATTCAAATATTTCAAGATAATAATAATAATAATAATAATAATAATAATAATCGTTTATTGTCTGCCAATGAACACAATAACAAATTCCATGTTTGAACAATTATGTTAGTACAAAATAAAAAATAGTTTTTTATTCACAATTATTTTTCAAGAGCTATACTGACAACGGAGGATAATTCTAGTACGGAAAATAAAATACCAAATTGAATGAATAAAACAAATCGAATAGATCAAACTGTGAATTAAAATCATGAAATTATGTATAGCGATGACAATCAACATCTTTACAGATACCCCATCCAATGATTCGAAAAAGATCTATAGGTTAATTATCATCATCCACCAAAAAATCAGATGACTAAATCCAAGCCTGAAAATGAAATAATATGTTGATTTCCATTGAGATGATGCATTGAAAATGTGAGTTTTACTATTATACGTAAAATTCATGGGTTGCGAAGTATTAATTTATAAATAAAATGCAGTGAAAGTGTGAGGTGAATTTTGAAAAATTTAGTTTCAATTTTTGTTTGTGACCTTTGAAAATTCCCTGTCACAGTTTACAAAAACGAAATACAAGATGAACTTCTTGCTTTAAACTAAACTATCGAAATTTTTCAAGAACGCTCCTGGATTTTTCCGATTCTGAATAAATCAGTCGATTTCGAGAGTAAAAACGGAATATTCCTTGGAAAAATTAGCCAAATCGAAGAAGCTGTTGGAAAGTTACGACCAAAAGATATTGTTGCCAAATTCCATAATTCACCCTATATATTGGTGGTACGCCACATTTGATCTCCCTTATGGAGCTACAAATATTATTGACTTCAACGAACTGATTCCTATTCGCCAGAGAATTATTTAACCAATTTACCATTTACTCAGTGGAATTGATTCACAGTATGCTGATATTTCGATTCGAAAAAGTTTTTCGTTCTCATTAATCATCACAGGTTTGGAAGATATCTGATTGGAGATTGAAGAGAAAGAAAAGATGAAACAAATTTGGACTTACGAATATCTCTGCTGTCAGATTCGAGACTGTTAGCGCTTTCTATCGGTGGAAGAGCCTCATTTCTGTTCCTCGAGCCTCTAGGCCTAGGATCGGACTTGGCCCTACCGAACCTCCTCTCAGTTCTTTGAGGGGGATCGTACTCCGCTCTATCCAACGATCTGGCTGTTCGTCTGGTCGTTCCTGCTGACGCCATGCTGATCGCAGGACTTTCACCCACGGATATTCCAGATCTATCGAAATTTCCAAATATAATAAGTTCCTGTATAGAAGAAGCTAGTTGAATCTGAGAACCAAGTTGAATATCTATTATGTGGAGCCGGTATAGGATTGCCAGGCGGCAATCAAAGCAGTCAACTCAACACTAGTCTGGGACTGCTTAGAAACCCTGAATGAACTGGGCAGTCAGAACAGACTGACTTTAGCACATACAGGATATAAGGGCAAGCTAGCTAGTAAAGTTCGGAATGGTCCAAAAATCTTTTGTGGTATTACGAAAGCAATACAGAAGATAAGCATCAGTTAGGAATGACACGGGCAAAGGAGGTTATCAGAAAAACATCGCCAATATTGACAAAATGTCTACTGAACCAGAAAAGAAGTTCAACTAGAATACTAGCGGAGATTCTCACAGGGCATTGTAGGCTCAACAAATACATGAGTACGATAGGTCTGGCTGGAGAACTTCTGTGTAAGTTCTGCCAGGAAGAGGAGGTAGCAACAGTACACATACTTTGCCACTGTGAGGGCTTCTCAAGACTAAGGTTCCTCATGCTGGGAGAGGAAAAACCGAGAGCTCAAAGTTACAAAAGGATCTAAAAGCTAGCCTATGGATGGAGTCTCATAGAGAAGGCGGGGCTAGCCAATAACGAACTCTGAACGATTCTGATGGACACGATAGATCTGAAGTCGCGGTGTGGAGGCAGATAGCACGAAGGCCTCATTGTAATCTGATCTAATGTGGCATCAGGGCTTTGTCAGTTGGGGTTCATGCACATCACGTGGCTTCTGATATTTTGGAATACGCAGTGATTGTCAAGAACTTGGATTATCAACAGATAGAGGAACGTACGGAGTTTGGGGGACAATGGAAATCACGATAATCATCCCATTCGAAATTGTATCCCAAGAGATTAGTCGAAATTCAGAAGTCCAAGCGAGATTATGAACTACCTTAATCATTATAAGCATAGTACGGTACAGTTTTTCAATCATGTCCTGATTCGAAATCAGTTCATTCATTATCTTGCCGTTTTATTCATGCTATGACCATTTCCAGTTATTTCTTGTTCTCTTAGAACTCCTGCTTGATCTTGATGTTCAATACTGATTTGGAAAGCTCTGAAACGCTCCAATTACGTTCTTATAATTCAATCTTTCAGGATGAGACGGTAGAAGGGACTATTCCCTGGTCCGGATTAGACGAAGAGAATGTTCATATAAACCCCACTTTCCTCTTGCCTTGATGATTACAACACTCATTGATCCAAGCTAGTTCATTTCGATAAAAAAACTCAAAACTGAAGAAAGAACTTGCCTTAAAGGTATCCCATTCTAGGAGTTTACTGTAATTTGGGGTGAAACATGAGAGTAATGAACGAGAATGACAGGTTCTGACATGATTGATAGGGCAATGCTAATGAAGTTTAGATGACAATGGGTAGAACATGTCAGGCACTCGTAATTATTTTCATAATATTATCATTTTTCGTTCTAGGTACCGATATACAGGGTATCCAGTAAGCCATGGATCATTTTCTTTCGGAGGTGGTCAAAATCCTTCATGGACACCACGAAGGACGATTCCCTTCATGGTAGTGTGGAAATCCCTACATGTAGGTTTTCCCACTGAACACTCCACATCCTTTGAAGGATCGCCTGATCGAAGTCTCCGAGGACACTCAGGCCGAATATGCCGTTATTGATTTCACCATATACGACTCATGGTTATTAAATATGGGCCACTTCAAATACCGCTACAGTGAAATAGTTATTTACACTACAAGGGAGGCAAGTGATACTTACCAGTCGAGGACATTGTTTGCGCCCGAGCGATAGCGAGGGCTTGCAAAATAGTCCGAGACTGGTCAAGAACACTGCCTCCCGAGTTTTGTATTATATTTTTTCTACTCCAGTTCCCTTAGATTAAAAAAAATGTTTTTCAATTACTTATATAATTTGACTAATCTAACTGAAAAACCCTGTATGTATGACAGGTTTCCTAGTGTTACACGTTGATCGCTATGGAATTCATATTGTTTATAATCAAACAAATGTTCTGTCAGTGTCATTTTATTAAAAAAATCGAAATAATGGATATCGATGCAGTTGCGAATGCAGCTTGTGCTGCTCTATTACCTCAGAAATCGAAGGAACGGTACAATCGGTGTTACAAGGACTTCAAGGCTTGGTGCAGTAATATTGCAAGTGGTGAAAGCATTACCGAGAACTCTTTGCTGGCGTACTTTGTAGAGAAGTCACAGACCCTAAAGTCCCCTGCAAGTTTATGGAGTGAATATTCGATGCTAAAATCGACGTTATCCATTCAAGACAATGTAGACATTTCCAAAAGGCGTTTTTGAAGAGAAAAAATGATGGCTATAAGCCAAAAAAGTCTCAAGTTTTCACGCGAGAAGAAATAGAAAAATTTTTGACAGAAGCCGACGATAGAAGTTTTTTATTAATGAAGGTAGTGATGGTCGTCGGGATTGCTGGAGCATGCCGCTCACAAGAATTATGCGATCTGAGTGTAGAGAATGTCCAGGAAATGGAAAATTTAATTATAATCAATATACCTGATTCAAAAAATGGTACATCTAGAAGATTCACCATCACTGCAGACAAAGACAGTAAAATCTGCCATTTAAACATTTTCAAAAGATATCTCAAAATAAGATCGTTGGTTGAAAGATCCCAACAACGCTTTTTTTTGAGATACCAAGAAGGCAAATGCTTGAATCAGCCTGTGGGAAAGAACACTTTTTCAGCTATTCCCACAAAAATAGCAAAATTTCTCAGACTGCCTAACGCTGAAGCTTATACCGGCCATTCGTTTAGAAGAACGTCTGCCACATATTATTAGCTAACACTGGTTCAAGTGTTTTAGCTCTTAAAAGACATGGGGGCTGGAAGTCGGAGACGGTTGCTGAAGGTTATGTTGCTGATAGTCTTTGCAATAAGAACGAGGTGGCAAACAAAATTCTTTATAACAAGAATAACAGCGATTCAAATTCATCTGCTATTCATCTGCCTACCACATTGACCAGCGCTGTAACAAGAATTTCTGATAACATAAGCACAACAGTAGAAGTGTCCAAACAGCTGCAAGAGGTTTCCCCACATTTTTCAAACTGTAATTTTTCAAATTGTACTATAAATGTTAATTTAAAATAAAGAGTTCAATTTTTAGGTTAAATTATGAAGTTTATTTAACTTGCTTCCCTAGGGAGGTAAATATTTACTTACCTCCCTAGGGAGGTAGAACGTGTTTTCCTCCCTAAAATCAGTATCAAAATGAAGTACTTACCGAGTAAGGAGTAGAAAAAATTCATTTCAAAACCACTTTTCTTTCAGGTACCTGGAGACTTCTCATTCGAGCCCTGGTCTCGTCCGTGAAGCAGGCCAAAAGTTTTCCTCCTTCTACGAGTAATGGACGAACGAGTTGGTCCAGGTGGTGCCCCCTGCACAGGGCTATGGCTTTTTACTCTCAGATGTCGCCCTGTTTCCCAGAGGACCCTCACGGGTATCCACAACATGGATTAGGTTAAATTATAAATGATACACAAAGTCATCTCCGCGACATTTGATGTGATTAACAAATCAAGAATTGGTACATGTTTCGGACATATATTTGTCCATCATCAGCCTTATATCGAAATTACATAGTTGTCCTTAAATTAAAATAGTTATTAGTACAATCAACTCGAGTTTTGAGAATCAGAGTGCTTACATGGGGATAAAAAAAAGGTTATGTCACCAACTTTTTCACTATAAAATTATATAGTGAAGGGTTTTAATGTGAAAATTAATATGGGGAAACCCAACGTGTCCATCTTGCCATGTACCAGCACACGACGGATATCACCTGACCTAGGCAGAAAGATCCACGGCATGTGACTTGTGATGTGTGACACATGCCGTGCCATATGTATGCAATATGCAACAAATAATTAATGTGGTGAGAATTTTCTACCTGCATTTCAGGAATATTCCATTTTCAAGGATGTTCGAATTGTAGTTTCAATATAAATACAACCATAGAGTGACCCATTTGTGTATTAATCGATGAAGTGATGAATTCATTTGGACATGATAGCAAATACCGCGCCAGTGCCCCAGGTATAGGATAAAGAAGTTTGAATGTTAGGTTAGTGAGCATATGAACAATAATAATAGCAATTGAGTATTTATTTCTCTATATATTCCATTGTGTTTGGCTAGGTAATTAAACAAAGGTAAACAATATCGTTGTGTGAGACAAAAAAGTATTGCTGGCCGTGATTATTCAAAAACCAGTTATCCAATCAATCAGATCCCGAGAATGAATGAAATAGAGATCAAGAAAGTATATGAATCATGGAGGCTCTCCTGATCAAATAAAAATACCTACATATACTATATTGTATTTATATCCCCAGCATAGGAATGAAATGCCAAATCTGCCGAAATCTGGAACAAATAACCATCCATAACAATGTTCATTTTTGATGACCTAAAACATCATTCTCAATTCCTAAGAGCTGAGTTCAACTTTCACGGTAATAAATTGAATAATGTAACTGTGAATAATTATTTTATTTTTTATTCAAAAATACTGAAAAGAATAAGAATTTCTCTTATAATTATATTTTAATGGAATTTCCCCCATTCAACTATTAAAAAGAAGTTAGAATAATAATAAACAGTTTGCATTCAAGAAACTACTCATATCAGCAAACGTGTAGGTAGGTACCTAAATGAATAAATATATAGATCGGTGATCAGTATCAGTGTTTTTTGCCTTTTTGTGGTAATTTAGATACAACTTTCTATATATAGGATATAGGTGTACCGTAATCAATATTGCAGTGTTACTATGGCTTCTTGTTACGAATTGGTATTCATATAACGTTAAAATATTGAAATATTTACTCAACATCTAATAGAAGTAAATAACGATTTGTTGAACTATTGTGTTAATTCAACGTTTTATTACTGGTTTTATTCGGTCATTCTAATGATAAGACTAAAATACAAATATTATAAATTACAGGTAATCAAAGAATACCTTCAAGTTTAATGGGATGTTGTCAATTGCCCCTATTTCAACAATCACCTTCAATGAAAATATGGATGTGAGGTGCCTCGAAAATATATAGAAACTCGATTGGAATATATTGAAATCATTTGTGTTCGAGAGGAATTATCGAATATTTTGAGGGATAGTTTCTGTACGGGACGTTTCCTTAGGACGTGCCATAAATTTAGTAGGCGATATTTTATGGAGAAGAGTTTGCATAAATTTTAATATTGGTCGTGAATTATCTCAAATGTGTGTAAACCAGCCTTATATCTTACCAATCCCAACACAACCTAATGGAAATGATTTTTATCCTTCATAAATATTATACAGTCGTATCTGTACAAAGTTTCATATCAAATTCACTTCACTTCACTTAAATAGTTCAAAGAAGCTTTTCTTCAATTTGACACAGTAGTGAGTATACAGGGTCTCTCACATTACCGTGGTAGTAGATACGACAACTGTGAATAAATTTTTTTTAAATAATTTCGAGAAATGGTTCCTGATGAGATGGTGTTTTATTATTGATTCCAAAATGGTTTAACCTCACTTTTTAATCTGAATTCGAACGAAATTAGCAATTTTTATTCAGGAATGTATTAAACAGAGTTACTTCACTATGATTGCAGCCTTCACTTTTTTGTTAGCAATTATTTCAGCAATTTAACAATAGAAATTGAGACTTGTGAGATGCCTAAGATCGATTCGGATATGAAATAACATGCTCAAAATTATGCTTAATCTGAAATAATATTATAAAGGAAAAAAAAAGTTGTTATTTTGATGACTCAAATCTTTTTCATGCGATTATTGGTTCTGGTTCATTCTGTTGCTGATTCATTTACTTGAATCAGGAGTGATTTATCGTAGGTAGTCGATTAGGAATACCTTTTCATGAGAATATTTCTCCTTTTTCAATTTCTTTGGTGAAATATAGAAAAACATGGTGACAAAAAAGTGAAGGCAAACTTCATGAAGCATTATTTTTAATAGACTCCCGAGTGAAAATACCGAAGATTGTGCACTTTTTTTTTAAATATCATTATTTTATCTATTTAAGAACAGTTCCGAAAATAATGATAAAATCTTCAAGATATTCATTTTTCTAAGAGGCTGTAGCTTCCTCAGTAGTTTCTGGTCGACAAATCTATTGCCAAAGTATTGCACGATAATTGTGGGACACCTTGTATGAGAACATTTCAGATAAAAACCTGTCATTTGGTCCAAACCACTTAATAAAGTACCTGGGTGTAGGTAATTGTATTCCGAAGTGGATAATTTTATTATTAACATAAGCTATAGGAGCATACTAAAAGTAGGTAGATATGCTGAGATAAGTAACAA